GGATTTGAGCTATTAATTTTCTCCTTGATAACATTAATGTATGTTTCTGCAATTAAGTTTATCAACAGGTTGTAGGTATTCCTATGGGTATCAACTGCACCCCTTTAATAGCAGACTTGTTCTTGTACTGATATGAATCACAGTTTATGACCAAATTCAGTAAAGACCCGTCTAAATTGCATTTAATTGATAAATTTAACAACACTTACCATTATCTTGGAAGATTTTTTACGTTTTTTTAAATAATCAAGAATTTTCTAAATATATGGCAGAAATTTACCTAAAGCAACTTACTTTAAATAAATCAAATATAAACGGTGATAACTGTCCCTTCCTAGATTTAGATATTCCCAGTTTTACATGGGAAACTCTACACAAAAAGGACGATTTTTCGTTCCTTTCTAATTTTCCTTTTTTGTTTCTTTGGCACCATCTTAAGTGTTTATAAATCACAACTTGTTCGCTATGCCTGTGTCTGTAGTGTCATTTTGGATTTCAATAAATGTAATCTATGTATTATTGTCAGGGATTTCGTTACCACAATTACTTAAAACCTTTACTTAATTTTTTTCAGTTGTTGTTAATGGCTTTGAGCTAGCTGTCAGTAACTGAGAGTACTCTCAGATCTGTACTTAGTATTTTTTGTTGTAGGGATGTATAAATACTATGCGTCGTCCGGTCTGTGTTTTTGTTAGATGTCTTTCTGCTTTGTATCAATCTAATAAGTTAAGCCCTTTTGAACTGATTTTTATAGTTTGTTCATATGTTGTACTGTTACACCATTATCCCAGGTTAGACGGAGGGTTTGGCACCAACAATCTAGTTTAATCCTCCCACATTCTGTATGTGCCTGTCCCAAGTCAGGAGCCTGTAATTCAGTGGTCGTCGACTCGTCGTTTGTTGCTGTATATCATATTTGTTTTTTTGTTCATTGTTTTTTACATGAATCAGGCCACTAGTTGGCTTGTTTGAATTGATTTACATTTGTCATTTAGGGGCCTTTTATAGCTGACAATGCAGTATGGATTTTGCTCATTGTTGGAAGGCCGTACGGTGACCTATAATAGTTGTTCTATGTAATTTAGTCTCTGGTGGAGAGTTGTCTCATTGGCAATAATACAACATCTTATTTTTATATAGTTTCAAAGTCAATAGACAAGGGGGACAGGCCAACTAATCTCCTGTGCCAATGCTTATACAACTGCATACCAAATATTATAGACATATCATAAGTAGTTCTCCATAAAATGACCTATTCACAAACTTTAACATGGAAACTATGCAAAAGTTTTAAAGTAAATAGAATAGGGAGGGCAAACTTGTGGTTCCCCTTAGAAAGACCTAATCACAAACTTTAACAAATTGTTGATGTCACCATCGGAAACAACAAACCTAAGTCTAGATTTTTTACTTTGTCAAGGTGGGACAAAAACCATCAAAATAGAAGGAGAGCTTGTCACAGAACCCATTATTATGCAAAGATCAAACAAAATCAATTGTAATATATTTCTACCATATAAGTCCAATTAGTCAAGAATTATCAATCAGAAAATTGTCCAAATTGAAATAAAGCTCGTCTCAATATATCAAAACATTGAGCTATTATTTTGTAAAAAAAAAAAAAAACAACTGTTAAAGCAAATTTAAGAACTTGCTATACATTGGGGAATGGACTGAAACAATATACTATAATATGTTTATAGCTGGCTGGCGTAAAAAAAACAAAAAAAACTGTTTCCCAGTGGGAATTCTTTCTTTATTCAGTCTTCTTTTACCATTATATGACTCAAGACAATTCTTATCAATTTGCTCTGATACAACCCACCCCCCCTAACCAATTCAAAAAGAGCTCGATACACTTTTACTCTCTTAGAAAAATCTTTATTTAAGCATATCTCAATAAATAGCCTGATTTCTTAAAATTGTATTTCATGAGGGTAATCAATATCTCTTTAAATAAATGCATTTTCTCACACTTTATTATTCAGAATGAAATAATGAAATACAACCTGTTTTGCTATTTTCTACTATATGATGGAATGACTATTTCTGTTACCACCATTGTATCTTATTGCTAAAATTATTTTTGTTATCTTTTTTGAACATCTCAAGAATTTAAATATGCTAAAACAAATATTTGTTTGCTTGCATTTTTAACTTTTCCTCAATACTGTAAAGTGGTCTATTTTCACAGTCTAAATTTCTGGATTTTAGGGCCAAACCTGTTTGTGAGATTTATTTTTGTTGTTGTTCCTGATTATACTCTCCTATAAAAATCAAATTCACGTGAGGGGATATTTTCACATTATTATCTAAATCATGAAATTAGTGGGAAATTTTTTTCCACTTTACAGTATTTTGTAATCTTAATGGTTTTTCTTAAGCTAGCATTTAATTTTGCCCAGCAAACTCATATATTTGTATAAGCTTACATAACAAATACACTCCCTGTAAATAAAACAAAAATTTCTTGGTATTTTTAATATATTTTCATTCAGTTTTACATTAATTTATTCCCGTACATTCCATATGAAAAATAAAATGCTCCGCAGGGCGCAGCTTGATACGACCGCAGAGGTCGAACCCTGAACAGTTGGGGCAAGTATGGACACAACATTCAAGCTTGATACAGCTTTGCATTTGGATTGTGATTAAATATTTGACACAGCATAGGTTTCTGACACAGAATGAATGTGGTCTAAGAACTTAAAAATTTTAAATTGGACATTCACCTATTATGGTCCAATATCCAAAATCTAAATACATGGTTAGATTCAGCATATCAAAGAACCCCAAGAATTCAATTTTTGATGAAATCAAACAAAGTTTAATTTTGGACCCTTTTGACCTCAATGTGGACAAAGTTGATAACGGGGCCCAAAAATCAAAAATCTAAATACATGGTTAGATTAAGCATATCAAAGAACCCCATATATTCAATTTTTGTTGAAATCAAACAAAGTTTAATTTTGGACCCCGATTTGGACCAACTTGAAAACTGGGCCCATAATCAAAAATCTAAATACATGTTTAGATTCAGCATATCAAAGAACCCTAAGAATTCAATTTTTGTTAAAATCAAACTAAGTTTAATTTTGGACCCTTTGGACCTTAATGTAGACCAATTTGAAAACGGAACCAAAAATTAAGAATCTAAATACACAGTTAGATTCGGCATATCAAAGAACCCCAATAATTCAATTTTTGATGAAATCAAACAAAGTTTAATTTTGGACCCTTTGGACCTCAATGTGGACCAATTTAAAAACGGGGCCCAAAATCCAAAAACTAAATACACGGTTAGATTCAGCATATTAAAGAACCCCATGAAATCAAGAATAAAACCCCATTGAAATTGGTCAAGAAATAAGCAATTTATACGAAGTATCTTCTTTTGCACAATACTGTGCAATTAAATATTTCTTGCTATTGCGCAATACTGTACAATTGACAATTTCTTGCTATTGCGCAATATTGTGCTATTGGATATTTCTTGCTATTGCGCAATACTGTGCAATTGAAGATTTCTTGCTATTGCGCAATACTGTGCAATTGAAGATTTCTTGCTATTGTACAATACTGTGCAATTGAAAATTTCTTGCTATTGCACAATACTTATTATATAATAATTTACACATCCTGTTTGGTGTGTATCTCCTACCATATCATTATCATTTGCTTTTAAATATAAATCAGAAATAACCAACTTAAAATGGAAAATTTTAAAAGAAAAAAAAAATGAAAAAAAAAAAAAAAATCCCCCGCCCCCCCAAATTTTTTGAACCCCCTTGTGATTCATAACCCCCAAACTTAATCCCAGCCTTCCCTTTGTGGTATGGTACCTTGCAGTACAATTTCAGAGAGATCCATACACTTGAACACAAGTTATTGTCTGGAAACTAGAAAAATATGTTTTTCTGGCCCGTTTTTGGCCCCAAATTCCTAAACATTTAGGGCAATTACCCCCAAACTCAAACCAAGCTTTCCCTTTGTGATATGGAACCTTGTAGTACAATTTCAGAAAGATCCATACACTTACACACAAGTTATTGTCCTGAAACTAGAAAAATGCTTGTTTTTTGCCCCTTTTTGGCCCCTAATTTATAAAATATTGAGGCAATTACCCCCATCATCAATCCCAGCCTTCCCTTTGTGGTATGGTACCTTGCAGTACAATTTCAGAGAGATCCATACACTTGAACACAAGGTATTGTCTGGAAACTAGAAAAATGCTTATTTTTGGCCCCTTTTTGGCCCCCAATTCCTTAACGTTTCGGCAATGACCCCCAAACTCAATTCCAACTTTCCCTTTGTGATATGGAACCTTGTAGTACAATTTCAGAAAGATCCATACACTTACACACAAGTTATTGTCATGAAACTAGAAAAATGCTTGTTTTTTGCCCCTTTTTTGGCCCCTAATTCCTAAAATTTTGAGGCAATTACACCCAAAATCAATACCAGCATTCCTTTTGTGATATGGAACCTTGTGGTACAATGTCAGAGAGATCCATACACTAACACACAAGTTATGTCTGGAAGTTACAAAAATGCTTATTTTTGGCCCCTAATTCCTTTACTGTTGGTACCATAACCCCCAAAATCAATCCCCACCTTCCTTTTGTGGTATTGAACCTTGTGGTAAAATTTCATAGAGATCCATTCACTTAAACTAAAGTTAGAGTGCGAAAACCAATGTGTCTTCGGACGACGACGACGACGACGCCAACGTCATACCAATATACGACCACAAAAAATTTTTTGCGGTCGTATAATAAAGAGATACTTGTCCATATGACATAACCCCCATGTAACAGAACTTTATCAATGGTTAGCAAAGAATACTGCCTAGAGTCAATCTAAGAACATGCTTAACCTTTCTGGTTGATGTAAGCTCTTTTATTCATTGTTGAAGACCTTCCAGAAACTCTCTGAAAGGACATCATCAATAGAGCTTGTTCCTTTCAAATAATGTTTATTTCCATTTATCTTATTGAACGTTTGTCTTTCCTAGCATCCTTTTTTTTTGTTTTTAGGGTAAACTAATTCCAAAATATGTTGCATTTCAAATTACTCTCACAACTTATATTGATAAATATAAAACTGCATCAATATGATTTAAGATTTAGTTGTATGTGATTTATTTTTTTTTTAAGATAAAAGCCTTTGATCCAGATTTATTCTTAATTTTGAGGAATAAATTCCCAATTAATTACAATCAGCTGTTAAATCATTTAAAAAACATGATTTAAGATTGGTTCAAAATAGAAACTTTTATCATTAACCCAAAAGTCATTGAAATATCTACTCTGAACTCCTAACTAAATAATATCTCAAAGTCATGAAATAAACATTTTCAACATATTTTTACATACATATGTTTCTTATCATGAAAATAATTTATAGCGGATGCAAGATCTGTTTACCCCAGAAAATAAGCTCTAAGCCTTAATTTTTTTTCTAAGATTAACAAAAGTTTGTATCAATATTATTTAAAATCATTAAATGACTTATAATATCTTACGAAAAGCTTGTATTCTTTATTTTAGTCAAATTTCAAGAAAAGCATTTCTAAGATCAAGTGTGGGTTGAAGTGAGATAGTCTGATAGGTAAATTTCATTGGTTTAAATTCATTCAACTTTAAAAGGATAATGCCTGAGCAGTTTTAGCATGAAGACTGAAGATTTTGTCATACTTGTTTCGAGAAAAAGGTCCTGTTATTTTCTGTCAGATCTTTTAGACTGAAACAAGTACTCCCACAGGTTTTACCTGTTTGAAAGTGTACACAGAGTCACAGTAACTTAGAAACACTTCAGTTAACAATACTTTTCTGAAAAAATCTTTTGGAGGGAAAATTCCTATAAAACTTAAAACTGTTTTCAATTTTTCTCCTCTAAAAATGATCTTATTTCTAATAAACATTGAAGTATTACAACAATGTAAAATTGAACTCTTTTAGCATTGTATTAGAACAATATTAAATTTTACAAATCTTTAAATTGCATAAACAAAGATGTTCCATAAATGTGTTAAAACCAATTTTTTTTGTTGTCAAAGTAATAATCATCATTCAAATAAAAATAATTGCTTTGTTTCATTGGTTTAAATATTTTATCCTCATATATAAATTAAGGCAATTCCACTTTTATTTGTGATTTTTTGTTATAAACAAGGTTTTTATAAAAAATGCTGATAAATGTTATGTTTCAAATTATCAAAACCTTGTTCATTACAAATGAGTCAATTTAACGAAAGTCATTTCCCTTTGTTCATGATTTGAGACTGGTAACTGTGGATGGCGACATAGATTTTCTTTGATCTCTCTGAGCTTCGTCAGCTACATGCTTTTGTATCTGTAAATAGAAATCAACATCAGGCTTAGTGATAAGGCTTTACCCTAAATCATCTGATCATATTTCTTAGTCAGATTCTCTTGTATCTATTATACTTTTCAAGATTAAATTAATTGCATTAAATTTTTACCCTAATGCTAAATTTTTTGTCTTTGCAACCGTGTTGGTAAGTTGGCTGGGACAAAAAAAAAACACAAAGTCTATAGTAATTAGTTCAGATATCCTAAGAATAATTCAAGTTTGGTTGAAATTGGTTCAATGGTTTCAGAGGAGAGGATTAAAAGAAAAATAATTATGTCAACAGACACCACGAGATGGCAATAGTTCACCTAGCCCAGCTAAAGTAACGTGAAAAAAACTATACTTTTTTTTAAAATGGTCATTAAAATATGAAAAAGGTAAGGGACAAAGGACATTTAACTTCAGACCATTGAGCATCTGTAACCTTTTTTCTTTTATAATATTCAGCTTTATACACAGAGCTAATGCTGCCATTGCCATTTTACTTATTAGCATCTATTTTTCTGATATTCTACAATATTCCTCCTAAGCATGACAAAAAAGTAGGCCCTGCATTCTAGGAAAATGCAAAGTTGGAAAACTGTTTTAGAACTGAACATAATTTAGAAAGTTTATCAAAGGAAATGAACCATAAATTTAAATCATGGTCAAACTGTCTAATTAAGATACATGTACATCTGCAAATTAAATCATATGGATTCATGTTAATCATCCTAATATGGCTTTCTCCAAACACTTAAAGTACACACCCATGGTAAAATATGAATACATTGTATGTCAGCTGATTGGCAACAACATGATTTGTTTTGGCTGTTCCAATCATACTCTCACTATGCTTTTTATGAATGAGTTACCCGATGTCAATCAGTGTAAATGATGTCATTGAAAGATAAACTCTAACTGTGACGTAAGAACATTAGCATCGTTTGGGAAAATGCAATAATGTGAAAGTCTTGAAAACATGGAAGCATAAACAAACAATGGTACAAATTTGTTGGAAGTCCATTATCTTAAATCATTAATCCAGTAAGTAATTATACAAATGAAATCAATATACATGTAGGTCTAATTATAATAATTATAATAACCAGGAAATAGAATTTGTAGATAAGTTCAGTTATCTTGGAATTTTGTTAAATTTTAATGGTAAATATAATCTGTTACAGCAGAAACTATCAGAACAGGGTAGAAAAGCTGTTTTTGCCTTAAGGAGAAATATAAAAGATATTTATTTGAATTTTGTTACTTTACTTTCACTTTTTGGTACTTATATTAACAGTGTACTTTGTTATGGTTGTGAAATTTGGGGTGCTCTTAGGCACCAGCTATAGAGAGGATACATCTGGGCTATTGTAAAAATATTATGAAAGTGAAAAGCTCTACTAGTAATGTCATGGTGTACTTTGAGCTAGGTAGATTGCTATTATTGCACACCAGAAAATGTAGAATTTTTAAATACTGGTTTAAGCTGATATGTACCTCAAACTGTTACTGTTTTTTATATGATGATTTACGAAAATGTCCAAATAATAAGACAAATTGGTTGTATTTTATTAAAACTGAGTTGCTTAGTACAGGTTTAGGTGATATTTGGTATAATCAAGGTTTATTTTTTGATAGTAAGCTGTCCAGTACTTTTTACTTGATAATTAAACAACGCCTGTTTGATTGTTTGAAGCAAGATTTTGACAGCCAATTGAATAATTTAGTTAAATGTTCAAGTTATAAATATAGTAGTCATGATTTAGCTATAGAATGTGGACGCTATTCTGCAATTCCAAGAAGAAATAGACTCTGTAGTTTTTGTAAAAATGACATTGAAGATGAGATGCATTTCATTTTAAAATGTCCCACTTATCAAGGTCTTAGATCTTATTTTATCAAACCTTATTATTGGAGAAAACCTTCTATGTATAAATATATACAATTAATGAGTTCTAATAATCATAGAGAATTATGTAATTTGGGTAAATTTATATTTCGTGCACAAAAATTAAGATCTAACATGTTGTAATATGTTTCACACTACCTTTTGCTATCTATGTATACTTTGCATTGTTTATATGTTGTATGCCTATAGTTGTTATGACTTTGGTAAATAAAGATTAAAAATTTGTAAGGGTTCCACGGAACCCAGTGTCTCGCCTACTTTTTCTGTTAATCGCAGGCTCAACAAAAATGAGGAAGTAAATCAATAAAAATATTCCTCTTGATACTATCTTTTGATTGTAAGAAGCTTCTGTCCAAGTCTGGTAAAAATCCAGGATAGTTTATGAATCTAATAAATGTTTAAAATCTTTAACTGCAGACTGAATGTAATCAATGGTAATGTTAACTGGAAGAAAACAAAATTTCCTTCTAGATACTAGCATTTGATTATAAACAAGCTTCTGTCCAAGTCTGGTACAAATCCAAAATAGTATAAGAAAGTTATTAAAATTTTAAAAACTTTAACCACAGAGTGAATGTGTTGTTTCCTGGCAGAAAATCTAAGTCCATTTAAAAGTAAAATACGGAAAAAATGGATTTATTTTTTTACAAAATTTCCTTCTAGATACTAGCTTTTGACCATAAACAAGCTTCTGTCCAAGTTTGGTACAAATCCAAAATAGTATAAGAAAGTTATTAAAATGTTAAAAACTTTAACCACAGAGTGAATGTGTTGTTTCCTGACAGAAAATCTAAGTCCATTTAAAAGTAAAATAAGGAAAAAATGGATTTTTTTTTTTACAAAATTTACTTCTGGATACTATTTTATGATCATAAACAAGCTTCTGTCCAAATTTGGTAGAAACCCAGGATAGTTTAAGAAAGTTATTAAAATTTTAAAAACTTTAACCACAGAGTGAATGTAATATTTCCCGGCAGAAAAACTAAGTCCATTTATAAGAAAAATACGAAAAAAATGGAATTTTATTTTTACAAAATTTACTTCTGGATACTATCTTATGATCATAAACAAGCTTCTGTCCAAGTTTGGTAGAAATCCAGGATAGTTTAAGAAAGTTATTAAAATTTCAAAAACTTTAACCACAGAGTGAATATTTGTGGACGCCGCCGACGGCGATGCCGGTGGAATGTAGGATCACTATGTCTCGCTTTTTCGACTAAAGTCGAAGGCTCGACAATAAATTATTTGTTGTTTGCATTACCAAATTCTTGTTCATTGGGCAATGTCATTTTGATGTCAATGGGTGTGAATGATGTCATTGAAAGAATTTTAACTGTGACCTATTAACATAATCATCATACATCATGAAAGTCGTTAAAACATGGAAACATAAACAAACAATAATACAAATTTAGGCTTTAGGTATCCTCAGCATAAATCTAAGGATTAAGGTATCCTGAGATTCAACTAATGATGCTAGTTTAAGACAAATTTTGTTTGGACTAGGACCACACAATTTTTTTATAACAGAATCAGAAATAAACAAATTTTCTTTGATAAATGACTTACTATTTTTCTAACATGATTGAGTACTTGACTTCCTTGTTTTCCTTGGCAATCATCTACACCATAAGGAGGTCGTATAGTCACTTCTTCCATCACAATTATATTTTTACCTTCCCATCTGGACTCTGTCAACCTGCAATATTTGTAACATTTAAAAAGAACTGTAAAAGTGACGCAACCCAAATTTGTACTTGATCTGAGTTTTGTGGTAATAAGCATTGTGCATAAGTTTAATAACATTTGGTTGAGGCAAACTAAAGCTAGAGAACAGAAACAAATATTTGAGGAATTTTTCATTTGCAAAGGGGCATAACTCTAGAACGATAAGGACCCCACCAAAATTCAAACTTGATCTGTGTTTTGTGGTAATAAGCATTGTGCATAAGTTTCATAACATTTGGTTGAGGTAAACTAAAGTAAGAGAACGGAAACGAAAAATTAAGCAATTTTTCCATTTGTAAAGGGGCATAACTCTAGAATGGTAAAAGTGACGCCACCAAAATTGAAACTTGATCTCTGTTTTGTGGTAATAAGCATTGCGTATAAGTTTCATAACATTGGGTTGAGGTAAACTAAAGTAAGAGAACGGAAATGAAAAATTCATCAATTTTTCCATTTGTAAAGGGGCATAACTCTAGGATGGTAAAAGTGACGCCACCAAAATTACAACTTGATCTCTGCTTTGTGGTAATAAGCATAGTGCATAAGTTTCATAACATTTGGTTGAGGCAAACTAATGTTAGAGAACGGAAATGAAAAATTCAGCAATTTTTCCATTTGTAAAGGGGCATAACTCTAGAACAATAAAAGTGACGCCACCAAAATTCAAACTTGATTTGTGTTTTGTGGTAATTAGCATTGTGTTTAAGTTTCATAACATTTGGTTGAGGCAAACTAAAGTTAGAGAACGGAAACCAATTTTGGGACGTACGTTTGTTCGTACGTATGTACGTACAGACGGACAAGGATAAAACTTAATGCTCACTCCGTTACACCATAACGGAGGGGGCATAAATATGCATGTTTCAAAGATATTTATCGCAGGAATAAAGAACAAAGGCTCAACTGAAACCTGTATTGCTCATCTAGTATCGACATGTTTGCCTCAGGTAGCAATAGACTGAAGAACAATGAATGTTATAAAATTTCATTTAAGAGATGCACATATACAATGGCATTATATATTTAAGTTCAAATAAATAAAAATAAGAGGTTCAGGAAACGGAAGGGGAAACCCCCAAATAAAAGGTGCACAATAGAATTATATGGTGAGGATTCTGAGAGAGTTTCATTAAATGAATAGAGTAGAAGCAGATACTAATGTCACTATGTGTATGTAGTGTGCGGATAAGACAAAGTCTGTGTCATACCAAAGTAAACCCCAAAAATAATTCAGATGAAGTGAAGAAATTGGAGGTGCAAAAGTACATCATTTTATGAATAAGGCCACACTTAAAAAAAAATTTGGTTTGCACAAACCCTACCCAGAGGTAGAGACAGTGGGTAGGCATTTTCTTTTCTTTTTTTGGCAAAGAGAAATTGAAATGTCAGATGTTTTTTAGTCTTCATGCCTATCTGATTAAAAAAAAAATTTTCACATCAGGACAATAAAAAATTTTGAGTAGGCAGCTATTTTCTGGGTAGGTAGGGTTAGGGCAAACAAACATATTCTTTTTTATGGCCTAATCTGTTTTATGAATAATCTGTAAAAAAATTGTCAAGTGATTCAGTAGCAGTTGTGGGCACAAAAGTAGGACAAAAGGGAACTGTCATTTTTTTTCTACTTTTATAGTTCTGATAGTTATAAACAATCAATTTATAACAGTCTTTTAAAAAGCTTGATATTTTGAAATAGAAATGCGAACATCCTTAAGAAGATTTTTTTGTATTCAAAAGTATTAATTTTCCTTCATTCAACTGAAATGCATAGGACATGACTTAACAAGCAGAGGGGTGCACAGAAAGGACAGAGGGGTACTGTGCCACTCTACTTTGTGCTAGCTAAGAACACTGTTGCATACTGCAATAAAATGCTTCGCTGAGCGTAGCCTGATACGACCACAGAGGTTGAACCCTGAACAGTTTGGGCAAATTTGGACACAATATTCAAGCTTGATACTGTCTGAATTTGGATTGTGATCAAATTTTTGACATAATATAGGTTTCTGACACAAAATAAATGTGGTCAAAGATCTTACAAATCTATTGTGCAATACTGTGCAATTGAAGATTTCTTCTTGAAACATTTGAAAAATTTTGAAAAAAGAATATGAATCCCTTAAAAAAATTGGAAAAAAAATCCCCCCCAACTTTTTGAAACCCTCCTAGGAGCAATAACCCCAAAACTCAATCCCAGCCTTTCCTTTGTAGTATGGAACATTGTAGTACAATTTCAGAGAGATCCATACACTTAAACACAAGTTATTGTCTGGAAACTAGAATAAAATGCTCCGCTGGGGCGCAGCTTGATACGACCGCAGAGTTCGAACCCTGAACAGTTGGGGCAAGTATGGACACAACATTCAAGCTTGATACAGCACTGAATTTGGATTGTAATTAAATATTTGACACAGCATAGGTTTCTGACACAGAATGAATGTGGTCTAAGAACTTAAAAATTTTTAATTTACCTATTCAAACCATATCATTATTATTTGCTTTTATATATAAAGAAGAAATAACCAATTTAAAATGGAAAATTTTAAAGATAAAAAAATTGCCCCCCCCCCCCCCCAATTTTTTTGAATCCCCTTATGATTCATCACCCCCAAACTCAATCCCAGCCCTCCCTTTGTGGTATGGTACCTTGCAGTACAATTTCAGAGAGATCCATACACTTGAACACAAGCTATTGTCTGGAAACTAGAAAAATGCTTGTTTTTTTGCCCCCAAATTCCTAAACGTTTAGGGCAATTACCCCCAAACTCAAACCCAGCTTTGCCTTTGTGATATGGAACCTTGTAGTACAATTTCATAAAGATCCATACACTTACACACAAGTTATTGTCCTGAAACTAGAAAAATGCTTGTTTTTTTTGCCCCTTGATGGCCCCTAATTCCTAAAATTTTGAGGCAATTACCCCCATAATCAATCCCAGCCTTCCCTTTGTGGTATGGTACCTTGCAGTACAATTTCAGAGAGATCCATACACTTCAACACAAGTTATTGTCTGGAAGTTACAAAAATGCTTATTTTTGGCCCCTAATTCCTTAACTGTTGGTACCATAACCCCCAAAATCAATCCCCACCTTCTTTTTGTGGTATTGAACCTTATGATAAAATTTCATAGAGATCCATTCACTTAAACTAAAGTTAGAGTGCGAAAACCAATGTGTCTTCGGACGACGACGACGACAATGCCATACCAATATACGACCGCAATAAAAATGCTTGTTTTTGGCCCCTAATTCCTACATGTTTGGGGCAATTAACCCCAAACTCAATCAAAGCCTTCCCTTTATTATATGGAACCTTGTGGTACAATGTCAGAGAGATCCATACACTTCTTACACACAAGTTATTATCTGGAAACTAGAAAAATGCTTGTTTTTGGCCCCTTTTTGGCCCTTAATTCCTAAACTGTTGGCCCCATAACCCCTAAAATGAATCCCAACCTTCTACTTGTGGTATTAAACATTGAAGTACAATTTCAGATCAATCGAAATACTTATACACAATTTATTATCCTGAAACTAGAAAAATGCTTGTTTAGGGCCCCTTTCGGGCCCCTAATTCCTAAACAGTTGGGACCATCATCCCCAAAATCAATCCCAACCTTCCTTTTCTGGTATTGAACACTTCTGTATTTTTGATTCCTGCTTCAAATAATACTGTAGTGATTTCCAATCAAAATAAATTCTGTTAAAGTTACTTTTTTAGTCTATTAACAATAGCAATCGTGTTCATTTCGTCATCACCAAAATATAATAGTAAATCCTAAAACTTTATAATCATGCACACCACATTATATACTGCTGTACTATTGTCAGGTTTTTTTTTAACCTGTACACAAACATTCTCCTTAAAGCCTGGGGTATTCCTTTAGTTTCCTTCTTTGATGAGGCAAATTAAACCAAAAATTCAAATTGATGTAAATGACTTACGTTTTAACAATAGCGTTAAACACTTTTTGTGCTTCATCAGAAACACCAATACCAATGTAGTTAATGCGTTTCCGTTTCTCTTCTTTACTTGCATTTAATCTGTTATTCAACTGAAAATATAAGTATAATAAATATAAACAAAGTTTTTTAATTTAACACAAATTTAAAAATGTCAGCTTACATGTACATGTGCCAGTGTGAGAGAGAAAAAAAGGTCCCTGCAATGGCTGTAACAATTTAAACTCGTGCAAAGCCAAGAGTGTCCACAGTAACTAGATCAAGACAGTACACATATTTTGTTTTGTTAACAAACATTCAAATGTCAGTATGATGAAGTTAAGAATCTATAACAAAAGGTTTAAGTTATATAAAGAGGAACCTTCAGTGATTTCAACATCACATGCCAAATCTAAAATCTTACATTGCGAGGGCTCGTCTTTTAGAACTGACTTGTCATCTTGTATGAATGTCTCTTACTGTCGAAGAATGTTTGGTGAAATGTACTTGTGTTTGTCTACTGTGGCACAAAAATTTTCTGGAATGTGACTGCCTTTACTACTAATTGTATACCAATTTTGATGGTTTTCTATGGTACAGGTGAAACAAAGTACAAATTTTCTATAGGCTTGTATGCAGACTTTTGCTGGGCGCAGCTTGATACGACCTCAGAGGTCGAACCCTGAACAGTTGGGGCAAGTATGGACACAACATTAAAGCTTTATACAGCACTGAATTTGGATTGTGATTAAATATTTGACACAGCATAGGTGTCTGACACAGAATGAATGTGGTCTAAGAACTTAAAAAATTTTAATTTACCTATTCAAACCATATCATTATTATTTGCTTCTATATATAAATCAGAAATAACCAATTTAAAATGGTAAATTTTAAAGAAAAAAAAACAAAAAAAATACCCCCACCCAAAATTTTTTGAGCCCCTAATGATTCATCACCCAAAAACTCAATCCCAGCCTTCCCTTTGTGGTATGGTACCTTTGCTATACAATTTCAGAGAGATTCATGCACTTGAATACAAGTTACTGTCTGGAAACTACAATAAAACGCTGAGCGCAGCCTGATACCACCGCAGAGGTCAAACCCTGAACAGTTGGGGCAAATTTGGACACAATATTCAAGCTTGATACTGTCTGAATTTGGATTGTGATCAAATTTTTGACATAATATAGGTTTGTGACACAAAATAAATGTGGTCAAAGATCTTATAAATCCATTGCGCAATACTGTGCAATTGAAGATTTCTTCTTGAAACTTTTCAAAATTTGAAATTTTAAAAATTTTGTAAAAAAAATATGAATCCCTTTAAAAAAATTGGGAAAAAAATCCCCCTTGGAACAATAACCCCAAAACTCAATCCCAGCCTTTCCTTTGTAGAATGGAACCTTATAGTACAATTTCAGAGAGATCCATACACTTACACACAAGTTATTGTCTGGAAACTAGAAAAATTCGTAAGGGTTCCGCGGAACCCAGTGTCTCGCCTACTTTTTCTGTTAATCGCAGGCTCAACAAAATTGAAGAAGTAAATCAATACAAATATTCCACTTGATACTATCTTTTGATTGTAAGAAGCTTCTGTCCAAGTTTGGTAAAAATCCAGGATAGTTTATGAATCTAATAAATGTTTAAAAACTTTAACTGCAGACTGAATGTAATCACTGGTAATGTTAACTGGAAGAAAACAAAATTTCCTTCTAGATACTAGCATTTGATCATAAACAAGCTTCTGTCCAAGTTTGGTACAAATCCAAAATAGAATAAGAAAGTTATTAAAATTTTAAAAACTTTAACCACAGAGTGAATGTGTTGTTTCCTGGCAGAAAATCCAAGTCCATTTAAAAGTAAAATACAGAAAAAATGGATTTATTTTTTTACAAAATTTCCTTCTAGATACTAGCTTTTGGTCATAAACAAGCTTCTGTCCAAGTTTGGTACAAATCCAAAATAGTATAAGAAAGTTATTAAAATGTTAAAAACTTTAACCACAGAGTGAATGTGTTGTTTCCTGGCAGAAAATCTAAGTCCATTTAAAAATAAAATAAGGAAAAAATGGATTTATTTTTTTACAAAATTTACTTCTGGATACTATCTTATGATCATAAACAAGCTTCTGTCCAAGTTTGGTACAAACCCAGGATAGTTTAAGAAAGTTATTAAAATTTTAAAAACTTTAACCACAGAGTGAATGTAATATTTCACGGCAGAAAAACTAAGTCCATTTATAAGTAAAATACGGAAAAAATGGAATTTTATTTTTACAAAATTTACTTCTGGATACTATCTTATGATCATAAACAAGTTTCTGTCCAAGTTTGGTAGAAATCCAGGATAGTTTAAGAAAGTTATTAAAATTTCAAAAACTTTAACCACAGAGTGAATATTTGTGGACGCCGCCGATGACAACAACGACGGCGATGCTGATGGAATGTAGGATCGCTATGTCTCGCTTTTTCGACTAAAGTCGAAGGCTCGACAAAAATGCTTGTTTTTGGCCCCTCATTTCTACATGTTTGGGACAATTAACCCAAACTCAATCCCAGCCTTCTTTTTTGTTATATGGAACCTTGTGATACAATGTCAGAGAGATCCATACACTTACACACAAGTTATTGTCTGGAAACTATAAAACTGCTTGTTTTTGGACCCTTTTTCCTAAACTGTTGGCCCCATAACCCCTAAAATGAATCCCAACCTTCTACTTGTGGTAGTAAACATTGTGGTACAATTTCAGAGCAATCGAAATACTTATACTTATACACAAGTTATTATCCTGAAACTAGAAAAATGCTTGTTTTGGGCCCCTTTTTTCCTAAACGGTTGGGACCATCATCCCCAAAATCAATCCCAACCTTCCTTTTGTGGTATTGAACCTTTTTAAAACATTTCATAGAGATCCATTCACTTAAAGTAAAGTTATTGTCCTGAAACCAATGTGTCTTTGGATGACGACGCAGACGACGACGACATCATACCATTATACGATCCAAAAAAAATTTTTGCGGTCGTATAAAAATGCTTGATTTTTGGCCCCAAATTCATTAACATTTAGGGCAATTACCCCCAAACTCATACCCAGCTTTCCCTTTGTGATATGGAACCTTGCAGTACAATTTCATAAAGATCCATACACTTACACACAAGTTATTGTCCTGAAACTAGAAAAATGCTTGTTTTTTGCCCCTTTTTGGCCCCTTATTCCTAAAATTTTGAAGCAATTACCCCCAAAATCAATCCCAGCCTTCCCTTTGTGGTATGGTACCTTGCAGTACAATTTCAGAGAGATCCATACACTTGAACACAAGTTATTGTCTGGAAACTAGAAAAATGCTTATTTTCGGCCCCTTTTCTGTCCCTTATTCCTGAACATTTAGGGCAATTACCCCCAAACTCAATTCCAGCTTTCCCTTTGTTATATGGAACCTTGTAGTACAATTTCAGATAGATCCATAGACTTACACACAAGTTATTGTCATGAAACTAGAAAAATGCTTGTTTTTTGGTCCTTTTTTGGCCCCTAATTCCTAAAATTTTGAGGCAATTACCCCCAAAATTAATCCCAGCATTCCCTTTGTAATATTGAACCTTGTGGTACAATGTCAGAGAGATCCATACACAAACACACAAGTTTTGTCTGGAAGTTACAAAAGTGCTTATTTTTGGCCCCTTTTTGGCTTCTAATTCCTTAACTGTTGGTACCATAACCCCCAAAATCAATCCCAAACCTTCCTTTTGTAATATTGAACCTTATGGTAAAATTTCATAGAGATCTATTCACTTAAACTAAAGTTAGAGTGCGAAAACCAATGTGTCTGCGGACAACGACAACAAAGTCATACCAATATATTTTGCGGTCGTATGAAAATCACATTTTCTTCTTAATCCCTATAATAAATGTATTTGGCCACTTCACTTTATTGCTAAAATAACTATGTTTATGACGATATGTTGAAGGGATTGAATATGTCCACTCTCAATTTTTTTTAATTTTATATCTGTTTATGTGGTGCAATCCATTCATGATATCCATGGCATTATACTGAGGAAATAATTTTCTGCCTGAAACTTTTTTCTGAGCAGTGTTCTCCATTTTTCACTAAGGTAAGTGTTTTGAAAAAATAACTTGCAACCGGGTGGTTTTTTTTTGTTTATACATTTCCAACCGGGTTTTTTTACTGTTAGAGAGGGTCACAAAAAGAAGAATTAGTATTGTATTCACATTTAATAAAATTGAACTGTTCCTCTGCTATCACTGCTAGCCATTCATTTGACAAATTAGTTTTGCAGATCTTGGATAGCAGATATGGCTTTTGTAGGACTACCTCCTCCTGCATATATGCAACTAGCTTATCGATCCAAGTTTCTGTCTCGTTCCTCGCTTTAGTGCTGTATTTTTGGAACACAGAGCAGTAATATCCTCCTTCTGTGACGATTAGCCATTTAAAGTCCTGTTCATATTTATCAAATGAGGGGTAACCTCTCAATTTAATGACTATCTCTCATGTTTATGAGGGTACATTTAACGAGATACAAATGAGCACATATTTATTTTATTTACAGAAAATTTTCCCAAAGAACTATACATCTATTTGGTGTTATATGGTCAAAACATGTCCAAGAATTTTGTAATATTTCTGGACTTATATCTTCTTTATTAAAAATAATGGGACCTTCTTTTAGAAATGTTGGTCCGAACATAACGATTTTTTCCCCTTTTAAGTTAAAACACCTAAGTTTTTCTCTTTTCTTTTCTTCAACAAAATTAACATAACCTCTTGCCAGAGAGACAGTCCCTCATTTGGGGGATTGTTCCCAACCTGTTTATCTTCGCGATCGCTGATGACTGAGGCTAAACTTACAAATAGCAAGTACACAAAAAATATTTCTTTATTAAATGTGCTGAGTGAAATTTTGCTGAGTATAAAATAGCTGAAATTATTTCAGTTAAGTTTTCAATTTTTTACGCTGGAGTTTATATATGCATTTGTTTACCCTACTATCATGACTACAGACAATATATATGGTACAGTGTTGTATATACAGATTTCTTGCTAAATACCTTCTGTAAATTCAAGTTAGACAGTGCAGGTGGAGGGTCATCAGATTCTTTTACAACTTTTACTTCACTACAATAATTCAGATTTACCATGCGAACATCATGGACATTGTGTTTACCACTGGCAGAAGATGATTCTAGCAAACAGTTAAGGAGTATATATACTAGAAATAATAGTGGGTTATCATGTAGGATTTTCATCTATTGTATCATTTATTGTATGTTGGAAATTTAATATTCTTTCCACAACATGTCACAGTGGCAAGCCATGATGATTTCTTGGTGACAGATGGTGACTTTTTAACAGTTTTAAAAAAAAAATGTATTTATCATCGGACATATGCCAATGTAAACAAACTGAAAGTGGCAGTTCACTCTAATTTCTTGTAGTAGCAAGTCATTAATATATATATAAACAACAACAAATTATTGAAAAGGGTAACACAGTTAGTTATATGTACTTATCTTCCCTCATCATGATCATAGAAAAGCACATGTACGATAGATTCTTTCATGCATAATGCCTAGTGTAATATGCAATATATATGTTAAGTAATAAACTGTTTAACTTTCAAAATGATTCGATATTCCAGGGATTGCATTTCCTCGATAGAGAGTTGCTGCTCACAAGGAAGCTATTAAACCAAGAGTTTCAAGTCATCCCTTCATAAATTTTACGGACGCCAGCACAAGTTGGTTGACTGTTATGGAATATTCGTTTCACAGATGATAGCAGGTATGTTCAAATAGTCGTTACTACAATCCCGTCCCCCTTTCCTTATCACCGGGTTTGTACTAACATGAGCACTTCAGATCACCCTGAGTTTTTGGTGGGGTTGGTGTTGCTCAGTCTTTAGTTTTCTATGTTGAGTTTTAAGTACTGTTGTTCATGTGTTGTTTGTCTGTTGGTCTTTTTCTTTTTTAGCCATGGTGTTGTCAGTTTATTTTTATCTTGTGAGTGTGAATGTCCCTTTGGTATCTTTCGCCTCTCTTAAAATATGTACAAAACATAAATTTTTCAAATTGTGTATTTTTTGTGTGTAGCATCTTGATACTTTGTAGTCTTCGTCACATTGCCCCATATATGTTGTTTTACATATTTTAACAAATATATATGAATAGAAAATTTTTTCAATTTGTTTTATTCATTTGGTGGCACTTCCTGCACATTCAGTATGTAACCTTAGGTAGCATTTTGAAGCCAACACATTTTTGGTGATACCACTTCAGACACCTGTCGCAAACTATAGATACATATTTGTGTGATCTAAAGCAGCGAGCAATGAATTGAAAAAAGAAATGCATGTTTAACAGTAAATAAATATGAACAGTGGTCATACATGTACACCTAATTGCTATTTCAGTATTTGTCCCCCATAACTGGACACCACAAAGGTTCCCGTAAAATTTTTGACACCCAAAAAGGAAAAGTTATTGTTGTATGACATCATTAGTTCAAGTGTCGCAGATTCCTAAATAGTGATAAGGTCTATTCAAATAACATAAAAAAGGCTGTTTATATCATGGTAATTCAAAGGGATAACATAAAAAAGACTTTAAATATCATTCTGATGCATACAACAATGAGTTTTGGACAATGGCGTCGATCATTGTGTTTAGGTACGTTAAAAAGGTTACGGGAATGTTTGTGATGACCTACGGACGATTTATAAACAAACATAATTTCGTAGAAAAAAGTGATATCATTTCCATAACAACTCGTCATTTATTGAAGGATACTGATTGCAAGCATTTTGCTTTCTACATCGAAAGCTAAAACTTCCCCTTGCAATTTTTGATTGTAACATGTCGTACACGACACAATACTTCCTATATTGAAGTATTCGCCCTCTTGGGCCATAATCTTCATTTTTCTGCCACCAAGATGAGTGAATATGGAGTAAATATTTTGTTTAATTCTGATTGGCCGAGAGAAAAAAACGACTAAATTATTAGTCGAATGTCGGTTAAATATCCGGTAAAAATATCGTCTGATAAAAAGAAAATAATACCACTGATTACGGAAGGGTGGAAGCGAATAGATATCAAACTTTAGCCCAAGCTGAAAACTACTTAATTATGTTCATTAAACGGACCATATAAGGGAGCTACCATTTGATTTTTATGGGGGGGGGGGGGGGGGGGCTAGGATGAAAAGTTTTGTCCTGCATTATTTTTTAGTTGTAATCTCTGTCCTGCCTTTTTATTTTTCACTCTATTCGGTCCTACCTTTTTTTTTAAAAAGTTTATCCTGACTTTTTTACCTAAATTGTCATCCTGACTTTGTTTTGGTAAATGTCTCATCCTGCCTTTTTTTTTTACTCAAAACTCCTGTCCTGCCTATTTTTTTCAAATTTCATCCTAGCCCCCATAAAAATCAAATGGTAGCTCCCTAATAGGCTCAACTATAATATTCGTATTGCGTATCTAGAGGCTTCCGGGATTGAGGCAACGAGGGAACTACCTCACCGAATTTTTGACAAAAAATAGAGAATGATAGAGAGAGATAAAAATAAATAACCGTGTATTCCATAGAATCTGGGAACAGTATATCTATGTTCCTGATAGAAAAGAGTATCAAGTATAGATGATTTTAAACACTTTAATTCTCTATCCTTTACATACAAAGTCCTCATTATTAACTAAAAAACTATGGTTAGTCCCAACTTACAACGGTTTCATAAGAATTACCGATATAGACACAAACTTGTCGTTTAAGATAGTTAAGGAACGGACAAATTATACCGTGTTATAAAAACTATGATTCAAACAAGACGTCAGAAATGTGCAACATGACATTTTCTTCAAAGTTTTGATTGCGTTTGGCGAACGTGGCAACCGAGACGGCTTGTCATATTCCTATAGGAACTTCAACTGTGCCCCTCCTCCCTATCGGACATGCATCTGGATTTATATGTGTCAGACTTCATAGCTCGTCCAGCTATAATATATCCATGAAGCATGTACACGTAGAAAGTTAAAAGTTAATATTGCCATGATCAAAAACTTAAACTCGGTGATGTCCACAATCATTTTTTATAAGACTCGTGACAAAAACGTAACTTTTATGATCATTCATGAATATCTTGTTACAGAAATAAGGAGATGTGGTATGATTGCCAATGAGACAACTCATGATCCACGAAAGTTCAAATGAAGTGAATGTAATCAATTTTAGGCAACCGTACGGCCTTCAACAATGAGAAAACCCAATACCGTACAGTCGGCCATAAAAGGCCGCGACATAAAAAATATGAAACAATTCAATTGAGAAACGATCTAAATTTTAACAAAACAATGAACGAAAAACAAATATAACAGACATGAACCAACGACAACCACTGAACTACAGGTTCCTGACTTGGGACAGGCACATAAAGAATGTGGCGGGGTTAAACATGTTTGTGAGCGCTCAACCCTCCCCTAACCTGGGACAGTGGTGTAACAGCACAACATGGACCCTCTACCAGGGCAACCGTAATTACGCCTCCCGTTCATAAAATTCTGGCCTAGGACTATTGAAATGTTGAGTAACGCCTTATACCCTAGAATTTGGAATTTCTCGTTATTGGTTTACTGCTGTTAAGATCCATCCAATCATTTTAATATACCATAGACAATTAATGAAGAGAATTCGACATAAAAATGTCAAACCTTGACACTTTAACTATAAAATTTACATGCTCCTAGTTAGGAACCGTTACATTAGTGCATTTCACAATTATTTTATGTTTTTTAGCAAAAAAAAGGTCCAAAATATTTTTCGCCTCGCTCCGCTCGGCAAAAGATTTGATTCTACGCCCCCTCTTTAAAATATCCTAGAAACGCCCCTGATTTTGTCGTCATGCACCAAAAATTACCGTTAACGTCATTTCGAAAGATTGTTTTACCGTTTTTCGTCATGAAGATGTCTGCCCCTGTCTAACATGCTTTTCTTTCCCAGTTTAAATTCCTGCTCTCATTCACAGTTCGACCTACTTTGCAGAACCTATCTATTAAATCTGTTCTTTTCCTATACACATGCAACATTAAATTTTGTCACTTGATGTTAGGCAAACAACAATCAATCAATATAAACCTATATAAAATCGACTTTTTTGCATTTTCAAATTACGAAAATATTTTGCGACGCCGGTTTGCCGTTAGCTTGTAATGTCCCAAATCCATATCAGCTTCCCGGTTTTTGAAACACAATGAGGCGTTGACTGCCAAGCCTCAAATCGTTTGCTTCCGCTGTGACTAAATTTGGTAGAGAGAAAATGGCAGATTTCGTAAGAACATTTCTTGTAAATACGACCAAAAATTTTCAAGTTTGCTTCTTCTTCTACGGGGATAATCTACTCATTGAAAAGTTCTATAAACGGCAGATATGTAATATAGATACAATGAATAAGCGTTGATTCTTGAAAAAGAAACCATGAGCCCGGACGCTTATCCATTGTATCTATTACTTAAACTATTGTGTTGATGCCTTTTCTTAATTAGAAGGTATTGTAAGTGAGTTTAAATAACCATGGTATCATGTTCAACGATGCATTACTAAATATAAGATCACAACTATTTGGTTAGAAAAATACAAATATAACATAACACGTCTGTCTCTAAATTATCAGGCATCTGAATATTATCTGTGTTTACAAAATAAGATATATTCGAACTTATTTCTAATAAAATTGAGAATGGAAATGGGGAATGTGTCAAAGAGACAACAACCTGACCAAAGAGCATATATAAAGTAATATATAATAAGTATGTTACCGGAATTTCTAGCAAGAAGCCTAACTCTAGGCACACCACGATTTACTCGCATAGGAATTTGCGAATAAACATTTGTAAAATTATGTAGTAAAACAGATGAAATCTTACTATATATCTACAAACAAAAATGGACAAATTGAATGTAATCATTTTCGTTTCAAATATGTGAAATAGCCAATAATAATAATAAAAAAAAACACGGTAAAACTCACTATTATTACAAAAATATTCACAATTACATACAAAATAAGAAAAAACAGAAAAACTAAAGAATAGGGTCAACAAAGAGAATACAGGGATTCGAACCTAAACCGACAAGTCCCTACCTTTAACTTGACTCTTTAACTTTTTGATCTTAACCATGCTAACCTCGCGGCTACCAACTTATACTATACGATTGCCTATTATATATATGTATATATAAAGGTAAAAGCCCTGTGTGTGCGTTGTACCGATGTATATCATATGTTCATTTATATATATAAAATAGACATTTAAATTGTAACCAATTGGTAGCCGAGATGTTTCGTCGATATGTTGATGTCAGTCACACATAACAGATTTCAAGGACGGGTTCGATCATCCCCAGTGAAGGCATATAAAAATTACAAAAATTAAGTCTAGGTTAGTCTATGGAAAGGTAAATACTATGGAATTTAGAGCGAGGGGCTTGCCCCGAGCTCTTAATTTCATAGTATATACCTTTTCATAGACTATCCAATTTAGCACATATTTACAACTCGAGTAATCTTTTAATTGGTCTATTGATAGTTTATTTTGGCTGACTACTTGTATCACAGGTGTTTGTAAAACGGAGCTCATTAACGAAGTTTTGTAAATCTACTCACTAGTATCATTGTAAAATATGTGATTTCAAAAGGCCCTTCAGTCCAGAATGAAAAGATGGTAGCTACTGGTGTAAGTATGTATATTGATATAAAGCGGTGATTTACTATACATGTTCTTCTTATATGGTAAGATGACAAAATAAATTGACCAAAAGCAGGCAATAATTAAATTGCAGTGGAAGCTTTAAATGTTTTGAAAACATTTTTTTAATTTCACAGTAAAACTAAAGCTATTATAAATTTGAAACATATAGATAGTTTGTCCCCGTAGATATAGTCTAGCAGATAGGCATTAAAAGCAACTACCAATAGATCAGAGATTATAGGTTTTGTGTTTTGTGGCTTTTTTTTATTATTTCAAAGTAAAAACTAAAAGATTTATCAGAATATGTTTATATATATATATATATATATATAATATCATAGGTTTGAACGTTGTTTTCAATTTAGACTTGTTTATATTTTTTCGTTTGGGCTTGTATTATATTTGCCTTCGGGTTTATATGATCCGTTCAGCCTATTTCGACTCTTCAAAATTCAAGAGTCAATCCCAAATTGAGGTAAATTATTTGGCCTTCCAAATACCGTTTCGATTCCTAACATCACTGAAGAGACATTAATTGTCGAAATCCGGATATGGTGTACAAATATTTGCACCTCATGTTTGCGATATACCATCTTTCCGCAAGTTTATTGTTTTCTGTTTGGTATTAAATTAATATAATTAAGATCCATTGTGTTACATCTGTGATCCGTTTATTTGGCAATCGCCATGGCAGTCAGCAGTGTTTAAGAACATCCGTTGTTCGACCTGCTAGTCAAATGCGTTTTGTTAAAATATACTTTTTCACTTTTTTGGTCTTTTGGAAAATGTTGTTTGTGCTGTATTTAGACCCCTCTACAAAGAAATTTGTTTTGCATGCACACGTATAAAAATTGCGGTTTTTATCCAACGCAATCATAGGTTTGAACGTTGTTTTCAATTTAGACTTGTTTATATATATATATATATATATATAGGTGGCACATTATCTTCACCAAGTTGCTTTAATTTTCCTTCACAAGGTTTCATAGTACACACTTTTTTGTATACAAAGTAATTGCATGGATGATACATTATCATAATTTTAAGATATCGTTGTACTCTAATCAAGGTATAAAGAACCATATGTATTACCCTTTATTTAAATGATAAACTTTGCAATTGTCAAAAACATTTTTTAGATCCAAAGATTTTAATAGCAGGATATTTAAAAGTCAACGTGAAAACTAATTACAAACTATTTAATTTAATTTGGAACACAGCATTTTATTTAAAAATAGCCAGTGGCAATTTTTGTTTAAAATATCTTGATTACGATACAATGAACTCTTACCCTTGTGGTCATTCATGCGTAGTTACTTAGTACACAGGAAAAGTATGTACTATGAAAATGAGAAGGCAAATATAAGCAATTTGATTGGACGAGAAGTTGTAAGTATGTGCTAAAGGTAAGTTGTTTAATTAATTCCATTAGTGAACAGAAATCAGTAAATTAGCTATTCAAACTTAACATACCAAAGTTGAGCGATTAATGGAACGGTAATAAAATATACGTAATACATAAAGTTTTAATACACAGGCGATGAACATTGAACATATTCTGTACAATGAACATGAAACGATGTATGAAAAATGCGTGTGGGATGATAGAACTCAGAAAAAAATTTGGTTTCCACAGTTCGAATAAATTATGAAGCGTTGTGTAATTACGGAAATGTTAACCAATTTTAAATTCCTACCGAAAATTTGTTTCTTTTAACGTGCTGAGTTTGTGGCATTTTTAACACGGCATTTCAGGTTTTATCTTCCCGGTGCGAATGGACAAGCTAGTGAAATTATGGTAACGAAATTATTCTGCCTGCAGTCTAAAAGGAACGTGTTACTTTTCAGCCCGGATACCCTCAGTCTTCCGAGGTAGAAGATTCTTTATCTGGAAGCCGAAAATTATTTCTATAATACGGCATGAGGCAAACATTTGTTTTCCTCATACAACAAATACAATTAAAAAAATGAGATGACTTCAACTTTGACAATTTCTTTATAATAAACTGTTATTGTATCTATGTTTAACGATTCGATAGATTGATAAAAATATCAAGGAATATCAAAATACCTTAAAAAATGTTCGAACATGATATTATATTTTGTAGTGAAAAGGTTTAATTCAACCCAAGTTGCAAGAAATGCTGTTTTGCCAGCAACGTCGTTCTATAACGTAAACAGAAAAGGTTAATTATAGTTCCCGCCAAAATTCAATAATAAGATTATTTCCGTTTTAGTGGATTTCAGTAAAACATCGGTGACCCCCCTTTTTTATTTATGCTTTTAAAATCTTCCCTGAAGCTGCAATTTATGCAGAAGTTTGAAGGGAAAAACATTAGTAGATTTTTTTTTTATTTAAAAAAAAATCTATTATAAACAGCAATTAAAAATGGCGGGAAATGTTCAAAGGCCTTCAAAAATAAGGAAACCGAGACAAATAAATGTTCATAAGGTACAAGTTACATTTGACTGTTTTTGTTATTCCAGTTAAACATCGTTTTTCAATAAGTTTGTCTATTTTTAGCAATTTAGAGCGCTATTTCTATATTTCGTTATAACGCGATTCTTTAAATTTTGATGACGTCATATCTCGAAAACAACATCGGTGACCCCAATTTTTTTTCGCCTAAAATATCGTAATAAGTATGATCTTTCTACATGCAAAATTTCAATGAATTATTATTATTAGTATAAATAGTGTGATTTCCCTTTAACGAACCCATGCATTGTAGATTGTTTATTTTAGACTTTTTATAATTTGGATATACGTTTTAGTATGTTGTTAATCAAATATGAGAATTTGAGTCAAATCGGTGAACAGGAATTTGACAGCTAATGGCTCTTTAAGCAATAACGGTTCGTTAATTTGTAAATCACATTATTGAAACTGTTTGATATGGGAATAGTAAAGGTATTGATAATTCACTTGGTTTAACATATACTCCAAAACATTTAATGAAATTAAAAACAATCTTAACAGGTTCAGCGGAACCATATGCCTGATCTGTGACTGTTCTGTCAGTATAAAAGTGTAAAGGCTAAAGTTGATTGTCAAAAAAGTATGTTCGTAAAATACAAAAAAGAAAGGGAAAAAACGAATATAAAAAAAAATATCTATCTAAATTTTCCCCAACTATATAGTTATTACAAAGGAATTTCCCAGTCTTGATTTAAAAATACTAGTTATAATAATTGTATTATACCAGGAACATATATCCCAGATTATACGTAGCGCTATTACTTAACAAACAATGGAGATTATTTATATCAATTATGTCAAAGTCAGAAAAAAAATTTCTCTGTGATTTTTAAAAGTTTCCCTATTTGTTCAAAAGTTGTGACCCTTTTTCATGTTTCTACCAGATAATTTTGATTCATGAGTTTTTCAAGTGATTTTTTTCCTGATACTTCTCCGTTTACGATATAACAAAAATGTTGTAATGTAAAAAATTTCAACACTTTACATGTTTTCCGAAAAAAGCATTTCCATGCGGAAGGTCGATTTTAAAACTAGTATATACGGAAAGCGGGAAACAATGTAAATAAAAGTTTGTTTGAAAGATATGAACTGTGACTATTTTGCATTTAACCGTTCTAGGATCCCAATTGTGTTAGTTTCAGTTCATTAGCCACTATAAAGATATGGATGATTCCCATTGTAGGGTAGGTCATATATACTTAGACATAGGATATATTGGTTTAGTCAAAACGTTAAAAAAAGTCTAAAAATAAGAATATATACATATTCACCATGCTTGTTTTGGGAAAATGGTTTTATGCGAGATTATAATAGTAAAATAGTATGACATACAGATCACTAGAATTAGAGATCCATCGTCTTGCAACGAAATAGGGAGAAGTGATGACCCAGCATGCCCTTAGGCTTAGAGTGCCATGGCTTGTTTTGTTACAATACTGTTAAGTGCCATGGGATAGGCCCTTGATTAGAAATTTGAAAGGAAAACTTCATAAAAGAAGCGTATGCACAACGTCATGCAATCGTTTCCGTCTGTAAACAGTTCTGTTTTGCAGTCAGGGGACTTACTTAAATGAGTGATTTTCTAAATCACTGATTCAAGTAACATTATGTCCATAAAGGTTGGAAGTAAGAGTTGTCTTTCTTTAATAATCGCCTATTTAAGTAGTACAAATTAATCACTAGACTAAGTGATTTAATTTTATTGTAGCTTTAAATATAGAATACTAATGATCCAGGGACTAATGATGTTGCTAAAATTATCAGAACCAACATCTGTGTTGATAGGATGACCGGGTCATGTCAGATGATGACCTTGTACTAAATCTAGGATAATGACATAAAAATCACTTGTTTAAGTATCATACCTCAATTTCCTTCCAAAAAATCACTTCTTTAAATATCATTATTTTAATAACCCCCACTAATTTCAACACCCCCCGAACAGTGAAATTTTGATCGCGAACAGTAGAATTTTATTACATAATCTATAAGATGAAACCTTGAATTTTACAGGAAAAATACTCCCACTGCTGGGAAAAATCTGTTAAGAAAGTATCAGTTCATTATGTAAAGCCACTTTTATAGCATTTTTTCAACTAAAATAGAATTTGCAGCTAAATGATTGCATCAAAGTCATAAACCTTGCTGCTTAAAAGAAGCAAAAAGTTTCATTTTTTTTCAATTTTACTAATGAAAAGATATTATCTAAACCTATGCGTTTAAAATTTTGGTAAAACTACAAAATCACAATTTGTGTCAAAACTTCGAATTTGATACTTAAATAAGTGATTTAAAAATCACTTATTTCAATAAGTCCCCTGACTGTTTTGTGTTGGGTAATCAGGTAAATAGGAACGTCAATGCCAATGGACAATCTAAAGGATGTTTATGAAATTTTGCAGGCAAATTGATCTAAGTGGGTCAAGATTGGGTCCTTCATTTACTACATATATTTTCTGTATTCTTTATTTTTAGGCCATTTTTCTTTTTTCTTTATTTTTTTCGCCCATTATTCTCCAGTCTGTAAACCCCCTCCCAGTCCCTCATCTAATAGAACAAATTTGGGACTGTTCACCCAAAATCATGTTCGCTCTCATTCTCATTCGCCCCCTTTCACGTTCGCACCCCACACGTTGGCAGTGCTTGGCACCCTGGATCCAATCACACCCGTTATAGAGGTTTTGAGTTGAATAAGTTTTTAATCATGCATGCTTTAGTTAGTGTATTGCTATAAAAAATAAATAAAATAAGTTTTTTTTATTGTTTTAAAATAGAGTGACATTCTTAAAACGTAAACAGGTTTTCTGTTGGGAATTATTTTAAATTTGACGAAATGAATAATGAATATTGTCATGATGATCAAAGACTAAGTCATTCTTCTCCAAGACTTGTAAAAGAGAGACAGAAGATTCCAACAGCTACCAAAGTCGTCACAAGCCGTAAAATAATTATCTTTCATTTTTTTAATTTAAAATCTTCATTTTTTAACTCCTACATGTCCATTGATGTCCTATCAAGCTAACTACTTCAACTTGTATTTTAATTTACACCAACACATAACAATAAATATATAATACCATGGAAGTAATATTTAAAAGGAATAACAACGACTAATTAGCATGTATTAACAGCCTGCAGAGCTCTGTACTAAAGTCATATGATTTTATCCAATTATAGTCTCAGCGGCAAGACCCCTTTGGTTACTATCTGTGATACCACGGTTGTAAAATGGCATCTGGAATTTCTTATCAGTCACATGATTTTATCGAGTCCGGTAATTATAAAGCACCTGTGTGAAATCCGAGGTTTATTAATAAGAAGGTGGCGCTGTATCATATAAAACCTCTACCTTCAGAAAGAAGTCGTATGATGTAAAAAACTTGAAAAACGGACGAGAATTGTTCAACCTACAACAGTTTAGCATGGAAAATTGTATTTAATTTAGCATATTTTTGCATTTTACCGTTTGTTTTAAACTGTTCTAAAAGTATTTTCCGGTTAAAAGCGGATCCCGATTAAAACAGTTAAATACTGATGAATCGATCAGGTTTCACATGATGTTTAACAAAATCATGTAGACAAATCTAGACATAAATTTTTTTACTGTTGAAATGTGCAAAGTTTATCGAGAAGTATTCTAAATTTATGTATATGTCATAAATGTCATTGATTACATTATTGAAACTGGACAGCTAAAATAGGGATGATATGTTCTTAAACATATATTTTTTTAAAAAGTGTTTATTGTGGAATACTTGTATTAATATAATTACAAGCTACAGCAAAAATTAAAACAAACTGACAAAATGAGCTTGACGCTATCCGTCTTATGGCAAATTCATTTTTACACGAATTAGTTTATGTATCAAGAACTATAAATTAAAGGATAGAACCGTTTAGAATTATGAATATTTTAATTGTCTAATACACGAAAGACTTAGATTATTCGTATTTAATAAAAGGGGGTCCAAATGTTTTTTTTGTACAATCATCTTCTTAACTTACGGAAATGGCTTTTTAACTGTCTGTAAATATTAAAATTGAAAATGACCCAGCCTTGTTCTCCAATTTCATACATTGTATGTGATAGCTGTCGGTACTATTAAGATTGAACTCTCTAGAAATAGGAAAATTGGACTAAAATAAAAATTGAACGAATGACTATATTCGGCAGCGTACATCAACGGAATGTAACAAATGGACTATTCGGGTTACCTCGCACGTATATACCTCAGAAACTTGTCTGTTCGTAGTTTTCCGTGAACACGAAAATGACCGAAAAGTGTCAGTGATTTGATCTATCACATGCGGAGAATCAACTTCCATGCCAGATATTAAACCAATTAACGAGTTATCGAAAGATGGGCAGTTACACAGATGAAGCCTTTGAAGTGACGACATTGTTATTCCTTTTAAATATTACTTCCATGATAATAAGGGGACAAAGTCCCCTATTACAGTAGAAAAATAAAAAAAAAAAAAAAAAAAAAAGTTGGGGAAAATTTCTGAAATTTTCATTGTACTAATGAACTCAAAATCATTAACTTTTTTTTTGTAATTTTTTTTAATTCCCGCATTTGCGCAGAAATCTACTTCCTTCTTCCGGTCTCGTTTGTCATCAGACTTTGAGTGAAATATATATTTATCAGTCCAGTAAAATATAGGAAGGAACACAATAACAATTTCATTTCTAATTATTCTTTGATATGAAAAAACGTTACCTGATGATAGTTTCTTTGTTTACATTGAATATGACGTCATAACTAAAGTAACGTCACAACTAAAATCCCAAACAACAGAACCAAAATTAGAAACGTCACGGTATTTCCGTTTCTTTTTTAACAGATTTAGAACTAAAAATATGTTTGAATTAAAAAAAAAAATATATAGACTTCGTCCCCTTTCACAGGTAATGCCTGCCTCATATTACCAAATTACTTTGTAAATACCAATTAAAGGTAATCTTAAATTAAATACCAATTAACATGATTAAAGGTAATCTTAAATGAATTAATAATTAATCATGATGACATCTAATCACAAAAAAAAAATATTTCATTTAAAAAATTCACTTTTATTCATGAAAATATAAATATTTAGATATATACATCATGTACATCTAAAAACATCTAATAATTCAACCGGTATTTGAATAAAAAAAAGTAGCAAAAGGGACCCAGGAGGCGAACGTGTGGTGTGCCAACGTGTAGGGTGCAAATGTGTTTTGGGCTCAAACGGACCTGATACCTAATAGAACCACAAGTTATTATTAAAAAAGTATGCATGTATATTAAAACTTTCAGAGATAAAGGAATCTGAAAATTCTATAAAACGAACTTTTTAAGAAGTACAAATATATATATATTAGACTATTGAATAATTTGTTTTTAAATTGACTTTTCTTAAAAATGTGTACTGCGAATTTTCTTTTTAAAATTTTATTTCAATGTCACTAAAAATTCCGTTATATTGATATAGAATTTACAGAGGGCTACCGAATTCATTTTTGTTGTAGGCATCCTCAAATTTACATGTTTTATCTAAATACATGATTTTGCCATAGTGTGTTCAGTTTCTCTTTGAACTTTTTTGAGTGTCCCTTTGGTATCTTCTGCATCATTTTTTAAGTCAAAGTTGCTGAACTTTTTTTTTTAGATATTTACATGTAGTCTATACTTTTCTACCTCAGTTTTCCGGATATTTATAATTAATTTGCTAAACATATATATCGGAAAGTAAACAGGTACATATATTATTTTCCGATACTGATTGGTGTCTGCCTGTTGCCTCCGACCTTGTGCATCTAATCAACATGTTATTTTGATGAATAAAATATTTGCCGCTCAACATTTAGTAGCCAATAATCAAGTAGTTAATCCATAATTTCACAAACATTTGTACTTTGGATAGTCTTTTAATCACTTTTATTTAATACATCTGCACGAGTGAACCAACACCTTCTAACGCTGTTAGAGTAATCAGGATGGATACCGAAGTATGCTGCGGTTGTCTTAAAACCTCAGGAAAATAAAACTATAAAAAGACAACAACATCCTAGATTACTGCAAGGAAATGCTTAATTCTGGTCTACATGTTTCGCCACTTACGATGGCATCTTCAGGTCAATTTAATGATAGGAAACAAGTGCTTAAGTACATAAAAGGAGGTTCATATGGGGTTACAAAAAGGTTACAATGTCACAATTATTGGTTTGACAACGTTAACATGAAAGTGAAAGTAAAATTTAATAAATGAATTGTCAGTATCTTTTCCAAAATGGACAACACCTCACTGGACATTCCGTACCATTTTAACTGGCTTCACGTTACATGTACGTCTTGTTAACCTATTTGTAACCCATATGAACCGCATTTTATGTACTTCAGCTCTTGTTTCCTATCATTAAATTGTCCTGAAGACGCCACCCACCGTAAGTGGCGAAACATGTAGACCAGAATAAAGCATTTCCTTGCAGTAATCTAGGATGTTGTTGTCTTTTTATAGTTTTACTTTTATTTAATGTTTAATTTTGCCAGGTTTTTTGTCTGTTATTTTTAATTTCATTTTCAAACGCTTGATGCCAATATTAGAATTAGATTGACAGTTTCAATGTTATGATAATAATTTTTTCAGGTTTGAGCGAAATCCATTGCAGGCACAGTCGTCATTATTTTAGTTTGTGCCTCACGGTTGTCACACGTTTTTTTCCACTGTTTTGCAATAAGTATTCGTCATCTGCAATCTTTTGCAAAATATTTCAATGATAACACATTAAAAGAAAAATGTTTTGAATGCTGGTACAATATATATGCTTATATTTTAACAACCTATCAACCTATGAGTTGAAAAAAAGAAAATTTGTTTGAAGTGTATTTGTCTGTTTGGTCATAACTTTGTCTTCTTTTGATTTTTTTTTGTTTTGTTTTATCCTGATTTTATCATGTATAATTATATATTTTTTTTACAATTCAATTTGGTTGACATGGTTGAACTATATAGCAAATTTCCTGACAAAAATAATATTTGTGTTTATATCATCAGAAGAGGAAAAACACCAGTAGTGTTACAATCATGATAAACAGGCATTGCCTCAAACCAGGCTGATACAGTTCTATAAAGTCATCCATGGACTCATTGCAATAGAAATCCATTGCTAGTCCGGTATATCCTTAAACCAACAAATAATAGAACAAGAAAAGCACATAATCTAACATTTCGGCAGTATTATATCTAAAGTTACAAATGATAGATTTTTCCACAAACATTAATACAATAGAAGTTGTATCATGTCCAACAAGGCAAAAATTGAATCCCTTGGAGAACAGTTGACACCATCTCACACATTGCAAATTAATTGAAAAAAAATCGATGTACATACAAGATGTAGTTTTATTCACTTGTTCAAATGTCTTTTCATGTAAATACATGTACCACTAAATAAGAAAAATTTGCAAAACTTAATAACATTTTGTTTAACTATAATTTGAATATTTTTTAAATCTCCGTCTCCACACATACAACAATTCATAATCTTCAGTCATATGAAGCTGAAACTGTATATCTGAAGAAGAAGGTCTGAATGAATTAATAAAAAAAATGAAAAATGAAACATTGATCAATTTTTGCTGCATCTTGTGTGTGATTGTTTGCAGTATTTTCATGGAAAACCCTATTTTCCAGCATCAAGTAGAAGTTGAAAATTCTTTTAAATGATTCGTGAATACTTCATAAGTGTTAAAATAAGCCAAAATCATAAGAAAAAAACGAATTGGAAAAAGTTGTGTTTTTGTCATGAACCAGAAATACGAAAAGAATGTGTAAATCACAAACAATTTTCATCACATTAATGTGAGTTGTCTTCTCTTAGTTGTTCCACTTAAATGATATTTTTTTTCATTCTTTTTTGTGTTTGGGCATAAACAATTGAAAATAGAATAAAACTGATCAGCATAAAAGAGATTTTAGTTGTGAATTATCATCTAGTCTACAGGTGAGCAACGCAGGCCCTGTAGAGTCTCTAGTTTAAACTACATGTAGCTTGATTTTATTGTTGACTTGCTAAGCAGTGCTAAATTATGTACCTTGTATACTGAATTGAATTTTTTAGGAACTTACACAATCTTTGAAGCTGGAATTTGATACAAAACGAAGACAACTGCTGGAAGTTCAAGCTGAAGTCAACAGATTGATCAAACCAAGTGAACTACGGTGAGAAAAATATTGTAATATGAAATTTTGTCAGTCATAGAATTGTCCTATCAAATTGTTGAATACACTGTTATCAGTCTTCACAATAGACTTTTGAATCTAAAGGCAATGAAGCTAAAGATTATATTGGCCTGTGGAGATGATTTTTACAAGCCCGACAGAAGTTTACAAGCCTGGGTTGGTGCCAGGGCCTGTGGTTGAGCATGAAGGCTGTTGGTTGCAGCCAATTACAACTGTTGGTATTTCATGATTTCACATAAATATTTTGTACGTTGTATACGAAGCCTTTAGAACAATTTTATGCAGCTGTGACATCATATAAAACAAAAATGAACTCAAGTTGACTTTTAAACAAACTTTATTTTCTATATTTATCTGCTCTATTTATAACTTTCTACTTACACTTTTCATTATTTCTCTCACCCAGAGCAACACACATTGTGATGACAAATTTATTGTTCAAAGATTTGTACTTCAGTGCTTAATTTCTGTATGTAAATTGTCCTGATGACGCCTGTCTGCCTGAAACATGTTGACCAGCATTGAATTAAAAGTGCAGTCTCATCATGAAGTGTTGTTGTCAAATTGGAACTTCAGATTTAATTTACATGTATGTTCAGTAAAATTTGAAAGAGAAATTATTTGCAGGATTAAATGACAAATGGTCCAAGGACACAGTTATCGTCCTTTGGTTTTCGTTGTCTACAAATATAGTCCCTAGTGTGAACAGTGTATAACTTGCATTTTTTTTTGATACACTTTCCCAATTTATTTCTTGATGTTTTATGCATGAAATATTAAGTAAGGGGATGAAATTACATGTTAAAAAAATTTAGGTGCTGAATCTTTATGTTAAGTAGTGATTTGGTCCAGTAAAAAAAGGTCAAAAATTAGAATGTCTGAAGCTGTCAAACTGAATTTTAGCCCCCCTTAACACAGAATTGTCAATATTTTGAGTTAGAGCTGGTAGAAGTTTCTATAATTTTGATATTAGTTGTATCATTAGTTGTACACTACACTGTAAAAATCTTTTTGAGATAGAGCAGGTGCGATTTTTTTAATTTGAATTTATTGTCTAAAAGAAATGCACTACGAAATAACTGTGTTCTCAGGCCAAATAGGTTCAAATATCCAATAAAATTGAGAATGGAAATGGGGAATATGTCAAAGAGACAACAACCCAACCAAAGAGCAGACAACAGCCGAAGGCCACCAATGGGTCTTCAATGCAGCGGGAAAATCCCGCACCCGGAGGTGGTCCTCAGCTGGCCCCTAAATAAAATTGTGTGCTAGTTCAGTGAAAATCCAAGTTTATTTGTAAGCATTGTTTAGTCATTGTGGACATTGAGAATTAGATAAGTATCCCAATAGTATTACAGTAATGAATACACATTCCATAGTATTTGAACTGGCTTAATCTTAAGAGAATGAAATCTTCTCTGTTGTTCACCTGCAGCTCTCTTACCAGCAACATAATGTGCATCTGCTAAAGTACAATGGATTGATATGTAATGATTTATTAAATTAGTTTTTTATCAATTTAATTCTTATTTCAGAAAAAGTGTAGCTTCTAGTGAAATAACATGTGAAAATAAACTGATTCTTCTAAGTATTGATGAACAAATGTGCCTTCGTCATAAATTAGATAGATTGGCTATGAAATTGAAAGCAGTCAACACAGCAGGAAGTCAGGAGCATATGTATGTATATATATATATATGTGTGTGCAGTCTTTATTTTTGTCTTTGCTCTTTTTTGTCAGATTGTTAACAAAATATTTCCACTATTTCTGTCCATCTGTCTGATGTGTACAGTACTTTATTACTTGAAATTGGATGTTGATCTGGCTTTCTATCTACCATGAAAATTTAGGTAAAATCTGTCCACCTAATTTGGAGTTATTGCCCCTGTAATAAAATCTGTCAATCTGTTTTGGATTTATTGCCCCTGAAATGCAATCAAAATCCTTATGGTACTGAATTGATATCTTTATCTTGCAATGTTTATCACTACCTTTGATTGTTGTAACAAAGTAATGCAGTGAAGTGATCATTCTTTATATCATATCCAGTCAATGTCATGCAGTTTTTATGCCCCACCTAGGGGCTTTATGTTTTTCAGTCTGTGCGTCCGTTCGTCCATCCGTTCGTTCGTCCATCCGTCCGTTCATCTGTCCGTCCATCCATCTGTCTCGCTTCAGGTTAAAGTTTTTGGTCAAGGTAGTTTTTTATGAAGTTGAAGTCCAATCAACTTGAAACTTATTACACATGTTCCCTATGATATGATCATTCTAATTTTAATGCCAAATTAGAGTTTTGACCCCAATTTCACAGTCCACTGAACATAGAAAATGATAGTGCGAGTGGGGCATCCGTGTACTATGGACACATTCTTGTTTGATTATATGTTATACTTATATACTAAAGCATCTTCGCTAGCCAAGGGTTACGATCCAGTCCCCTCCTCTCCACTCTTGGTGAATAAAGATAGAATTTCGGATACATGAGGTTATGATTTCCATTGGTCGCAGTTGTAACTGGCTGCATCCAATTAAAAAGCGCCTTTAAAATGATCACATGTAAATGTGGAAAATGTAAATAAACAATTGCCACGTGCAGATTGTGCAACAAATCTTTACCCCCAAAACATAGGACGATATGTAGTGACAATTTTAAAGTTCTTAATCAACTAATTAAAGTTCCTAGGTATGTTTCCTCGAGCAAATGTTGGAATGTTAATGTATATTTTCAGTTCCTGCTTCACAAAATTTGTAAACACTACATACAACCATTTTGACACCTTCACACTGAAGAGAGTTCAAGCGCTGCCATTGGTCATGAATGATGTAGTGGAAATGGGTGTGACTTCTATCTACCGGTAGATGGCGCAGCAATGTAATCACAAATGTTGGCTTAATCTGCCAAGGATGGAGACAAGGGAACTGGATCGTTTACATTGGCTAGCGAAGATGATATTAAAGTTACAATATGATGTGTATTTGAATTACCATCATGACCATACTTGTCCAGAAAAATTCTTTTTTATTAAAATTACATAAGTACAAACATGTAGTGCATGGCATATGAATCTGTTTTAAAAAAAGAACAGAACTCAACAACGAACATCAGCATGTACAAGTGTGGAACGGAGACCACAGTGATAATACAAACACATCTATCTTAATTTCACATGGTAATACCACAGTAGTCAGTAACAAAATAAGCTTTCAAATCACCGGGCTGTAACAATATAAAAGTCATAATTATGATCAGCAAACTGGCAATTTTTTTCAAAAGGGTGAGTGCTACAGCCACAGGTGTACCTCTTGTTGAATCAGATTTAATAATGCTGCTATATTTATATCATATTTTTTTCAGCCATTTAAATTCTGTGCATGAGGAATTAATAGCCTTACATAAAAGGAAAGATGTGAACACACTCAATACAAGTAATGATTTCCAGAAGCTTGCACGTTTTGTAACAGGTATCAGTATATTCAAGTAGCGATAAAAAATTTGATGAAAAAGTAATTTAAGAAGTTGTTTTTGTAAAGGGCGTATACAAAAGAAATATAGATGTTATAGTTTTCCCTTGTTCATACCATGTACTGCCAACTAAGTCTTACATTGAATTGTGCCAAAGTGACATAATCTACTAAACTGATTGGCATCATTTTGATTAAAAACTCTTTCAGTTGTAACCATTGACAGATATGTTCAGTATAAATACCAGGGGATTCAAGGAAGGGCTTCAATATAAAACTTATTAATATGCTGTAGAATTTAACTAAACACAAGAAAGCACAGATTTTTTAAAATATTAGAAATGGCAGCAAACAACAAATATATATGTTAAGCTCAGAATTGATCTCGGTTACTTTTTTTTGCAATAGGTACATAATATTTATGAATGTAAAATTTTCTTACAGAAATTGATAGAAGTGAAGGGCACTAGAATTCATATGATATCAGAAAGTAATTATCTTGTGGTTAATATTTATTTCTCCCCCCTCATTATGTTGGAAAACTTTATTTTGGTCCTGTCTGTCTGTCTTAATTTGTTGTAGAAAAAGTTGTTGCCAGAAGATCTATTACAATTTAAGTATGATTAAAATGACTTGATTTATCATAGGCAAATACATTATCTTTCAAAAGTATTTGAAATCATTCTAAATGATATTATATTCCATTGTAAATTATATGTGGTTTGAATGTATGTTTACAATTTCAGATTTACAGTCAGACCACGAATGGAATTGTCAGTTAAAAGGAGAAATAGAAAACCAGATCAATAAAGGTAACAGGGATTAATTTCTCACATACATGATAATGATGAGGTGCTTGTAATTTTTTTGTGCCTTTTGATATTGACATTATTATACATCCCAATTCCAACCCTACCCCTTACTTTTTTAAGCCTCTGTGGTCTTGTGGTAGCATGCTCACCTGGAGTGTGGGTTCAATCCCCTGCCTGTTTTAATCAAATACAATAAAATTGGTATTTGCTGCTTCTCCACTAAGCACGCAGCATAAAAGAGTAAGAGCAAAGATTGGTTGGCTCAGAGTCAGAATAATATGTAAGGGTGAACTAACACATTAACTGAGCATGTTGGTATAGTACAAGCAGGGTTCATGTTCAAATCTCATTAACATTTTCTTGTCCTGTGTATGCATTTAATTTGCCACTGGATGTTGAAACGCTTTCCATCATCATCTAAAGAGTGCAGTCTATAGTGATTGGGGAGTTTGTGTGTCCATTAGTTCATTCATCCATCATCATACTTCTGTCCCACTTTTGTCTATGCAACTGCTCCTGAACCACTTGACAGAACTTGATGACACTTTTACAAAATTTTACTCATATTGATGTTTTTTTGCACCAAAGGGCCAAGTGAGCTTTTGCCATCACTTGATTAATTGACCTTGACCTTAGGTTAAAAAACACTTAATTAATTTCATTGCTCTTTAAAGTCATGCAAATAATGCAGCCTGTTACTGTAAGACACAGTAGTGTGTTAAATCATGTTATGTTGTTTGTTTACAGTCTTATTGACAAACACCCCAAATCTCTTTTCAAATCTGACATGTCTATCCACTACTCAGTATCAGGGTTGGCAAAGTATTACCCAGGTCCAGGTTTTCCCGGGCTGGGAAATACTCCCATAAACTGGTAATACCGTGCAATAACATTTTTTAAGCTTATTTTTTCTCAGAATAGTAAAGACTTCTTGTAGTTTCATACTTTTATAGCTAAATATATACATTTTATACAGATAACCATTGAGAGTCATTTCTAGAGGATTGAAAATTCAATTTATTCTTTTTTTCCAATAATTTTATGTAGGCAGAATACGAGTTCTGCACATTTTAGGATATCTTGTTAATTTCCAAGCTTTGTTTCAATAATCCAAACTTTGAAAAAATGCATTTTATTGCAGTGTTTAAGTGAATTGTAAATTTTTAATTTTTATACAATCATATTGCTTAATAAACACCCAAGGGGACATGTCATGAACACTTATAGAAATGAAAAGGCTGATTATTGCTATATCAATAAATCTGTGTTATAATCTGAATAATTACTTATTAAAGGGGCATCAGCTACGAGATATAAAAAAAAAATTATAATATGATTTTTTTGTTCAATCATTGATGAAAGTGAAATAGTCAAATAATAATTCACTTTTAGATGCCAGTTTGGTTCAATTCTGTCAAAACAAGCAAAGAAACATCGCTGATGCATTATTCACTTGCAAGTGAATAATTCAACCTCATGGAATCCGTATTCATGTATCCTTAAATTTAACCCCATAGCTAGAGATGGGTTACGCTTGAATTAGGCGTGTTTAGTTATCAAAAGGAAAAGAATGTCAACATTGAAAGTGAAACAAGGGTAAATCATTTGATTGACTGATTCGATCCACAAAAACTCATTCTTATACAGGTAAAACCATGATTAACATATATTTTTAACCTATGATATAAAATCAAACAGAACTAGAAAAATCCAATTGCACGAGTTCGCTATCTGTTAATATCTATTTTATGTTTATATTGGGTTATATTGCCGTCGGCAGTTTTTGGAGGTCACCTAGATGGTTAATTAGATGGCGTCTAGACTAAAATACACACATAATGCTGATACATATTATTGAGCCCATGCATTGTAAATTGTTTATTTTAGATTTTTTTATAATTTGGATGTATGTTTTAGTATGTTATAAATCAAATATGAGATTTTGAGTCAAATCGGTGAACATAAATTTGACAGCTAATGCCCCTTTAATTAGTGATATATACATATATACAGTACACACAGAGAGTTTATAATCCCAAACTCCCTACACCACGATTATTCTAGGTGTGACACCAGGAAACTCTGATATCTCTCCCTAAATTCTCGGAGAAATTTGGGAGTATTCCCTCCGACTTCCGCGTAAATCCCCTACCTTTTGTTTATTGTATTAGCGACTTCTCTCCTAGCACAGTGTCACACCGTGTCACACCAGGTAATTAAATGCCCTAATCCTTCTGATCTATGCCGACACCCTACAGTCAAGGTATGTGAAATTTCTTATGTAAATAAACAATTGTATTTCCTGTTTATCTATAATCAGGTTATATATCTAATTGCTTGAAACAAATAAAAGATTTAAAAGCAAAATGTTGTTAATTCTTTCAATTGCATTAAATAGTTTTATAAAACAAAATATACTTGATTTTGACCTCGTTTTTTTTTCACCGTCCGGTAAATTCATATTTTATTTACAAAAGAGATATACATGTACTAGTGTAAAAATAAACATAAACTGTAACCTCTGAATAAATGTGAGCAGTTTAAAGAAAATTACGTGTCTCAAAGTTTTGTATATGCAATTAAAAAAAGAAAATATTATTCACCATCTTTACGCTTATATAGATAAGTCGACGGCATTTCATTTTTACGATTATCTAATTGCTTGAAAAAAATAAAAGATTTAAAAGCAAAATGTAGTTGTTAATCTTATAAGAATACTATACTTGATTTTGACCTCGTTTTTTCACCGGTAAAGTAATATTTTATTTATGAAAAGGGACATACTTGTGTAAAAATAAAGGGAAACTACCGCTGACTAAATATGAGCAGTTTAAAGAAAATTACGTGTCTCAAAAGTTTTGTATATATATGCAAGTAAAAAAGAAAATATTATTCACAATTCGTTATGCTTAATAAATCTACGACATTTTTTTTTATGATTTGTTGGCATTACTTAGGATATTCAATACATTTTGGCTACAACAGGAATACTTCCACAGCTGCATAAACTCGTCTTTGCCTAATATTTATTTACTCACAATGAATGTAAACTTGTGTGTTGAATTTTGGACAGTGATCTTAAAAGATTTTTAATGAAATTAATTTGCCGTGGGAAGACAATTCCTCGATACACATCTCAGTGATCAACAATGTGAACTTGAACTTGACCTCTCTAACAATATTAAATGCTAAAAATAGGTGATCAATTTTATCCACTGCACGAGATTTTTATTTGGCTGGAAATAATATCACATACCAGTAAACTCAGGTGACCTATCTGAAAGACCGTGGGAAAATTCATTCACGTTTTTAAAGTTGCTTTGGATTAATGATTGACATGTTTGTGCGTTATAATTGAGGCTCTAGAAGGTCCTTTTACAATTGATTAACCGGAATCTAAAATATAATCCTTTTCCGAATAAAAAAACACACATCTTCTTTAACTATTTTATTTTTTATATTTTATAGTCAAAACAGAACGTGGACCTGAACATTATACGCCAACAATATAAATTTATGATTGATGAAAACACAATACATGTCGTTCAGTTGGGCGTTGGTAGAGTTCCTCTGTGAAAATGTGTAGACCGTTAAAATTATGTCCACTTCTTTTTCACTTATTTTTTTTGTAGCATCTGGGTACACGATATAATTTCATTTTAATATTTTTCGTATATATATTTGATTTATTTCTATAGTAATTGTTGAAATAATTCATTTTTTTTTCATTTTGCCAAGGATTTTTAATTAGCAATAAAATACGGCTTGCGCTCATCAAATTTTATTTTAAATAATTACAGATCAATAACAGAGATAAACGCATGATTTTTTTCATGTGATTAATTAAGTTGTGAATGTTGTGTTGTGCCTGGGCGGGGACTTTCTCTCAGTGTTTTGTTTTTATGAATAAAGGGCATGCATACAAAACTTATTCCCTTTGTTCAACAGAGTTGTCACTTTACACTTTCTTTTCGGAATTCAAATAATTCAAGTCTGTAATTTACCGAGGTAGTTAAACATAATACTTTACATTGCAAAATAAATTGAAAATGACGGAGTTGACTTGTTGATCTGTAAAATTAACTCTGTGGTTTAGATTGGACGAGTTACCGTTAAAACAACATTTTGTTTTAAGCCAGTTGATTTTTATATGATGAACAATTAATGTATCGGGTATTGCTAACTGAGTAAGTCATAACAGATTCTCATGGTGGTAAAATCGTTTTTGTTGAAAGAACACAAAGTATGACCTGACCGGACTTTAATAGAAATACAAAATAACAAGTTTTTTCTTCATATTTTTATTCGTTCGTAGGTTTCATTTCAAATGACAATGACATGGGGCAAAAACATATAATAAAAATTATCTTATTTTGAATGATAATGTCACATCTTTATCTGTCAAAGAAATGAAAACATTTATTAAAATTTTAATACCGTGTTTTTAAAGCACACAGGTGCAATCAAGATCGATTAATGTACATAAAATGTACATAGGTAAATAATCTGACTAATCCGATTATGTTGTCACGCGTCGTTAATTTTTAGTACACTGCCGATGGGCAATAAACCAATTAACAGCCACTCGGTGTTGGGAGAGAATCTTTGGAGGAAATTGGGAGTATAATCCGTGATTCGTGGTGTGACACCGCTACACCCCGAAATCGGTGGTAAGAGTTCGCGATTATAAACTCTCTGCGTGTACTGTATACTACTTAGTTAACATTTTTAGCAATGAACAGATATTGTTTAAAAGTAATTTTCCTTACATATATTCGTTAATTCTTAATAGTTACAATGTACATGATGTATATATATTTAAAACAAGTGAACTTATTAATTAAAATACTATGTTTTATTTTTATAAATATCATAATCTTTAACATGTTTAATGTATTGCATTTGTGATTAATCACTGAATCCTCTTTAAAATTCAGGCCACTGGCCTGGACTGGGCAATACTCATAAAACCTGGGTTTTTGCCAACCCTGCTCAGTATTCAGTGATTCACCAATGGCATAATTTATTACATACAAACTTTTAAAGGCATTCATTGATAGCCACTTATACAGTGAACTTTTAATCTTTTAAGTTTTGTCGGCAGATGAAAGAATTGTAACCAGTGGTCTTGAATGGTATACTCTTTATGTTAGATTACATTAAACTAAGTTAATGATGGCCCTATATAGTGATAATGATACAAATCGAAACTCTTATTATGTCACCCAATTGACAATGCCTATATACAGGTTTTGGATGATTTTGACAATCATCAGAACTATGTTGCCATGGAAACTACAGCAAAAATTTCAAAATACTCCAAACTTAATGAAACTTATAAGAAGTGTTGACTGGCATGTGAAGATGTGGCATCTGGCTTTGGAATTTCCAAAATGGCTGCCGTTACCATGGAAACAATGCAAACAATGTCAAAATGATCCAAAAACATGAAATTAGCATTTCCCCTCTTAAAATGGTTGGTCAAACTCGTTGAAACTTTGATGGTATGTTCCCTCTCATGTACCAATGTGGCATCTGTCATTAAAATTTTGGAAATAGTCACCGTCAGCCAAAAATTTCAAATGAAACTTAATATTTAATTGGCAAGTATTGATGAGGCTTTTGAATTTGGAATTTTCAAAATGGCCACTGTTGCCATGGAAACAGCAAAAATTTAAATGTGTAAAATTTCAAAATACTCCAAATGATCTGAAAATTTACAGAGAGATGTATAGCCATGCATATATGTGTATTCATTGTTTAAAATTTTCCAAATGGCTGCTTCTTAGTGGCAGGAGGGGAGGGTGACATCTGCCATTACTTTCAATGGTAAATCTAGTTTGAATTTCTTATTCAATATATTCCAGCATACAGAAAGATTGCTAAGCAGCAAGTATTATTGTCCAGAAGATGTAGTGAAAGTTCTGATCCAGTAGAAAAGGAAAATGCTGGACGCTTATTGGATGATTTCGTTAAACAACACATAACTTCAAAGAAGCTACCTTTCCAGGAAAGTCAGCATCATATCAACACACTGACACAACCATTGCCAGAATCACATTCACATATCAGCATTCAGGAAAAGCCTATTTATTGCAGTCAGTAACTGGGTAATGCCCAGAAGAAATCTTTTGGGAAGCGAGCAGATGTAGATCAGATGATAAATAATGTACAAGGAGTTACACAGAGGAAGCTTCCTTTAAAGGAACAATATTAATTTTTATGTATAATTTTTTTTCTGTCTCTCTGTTTGTAACACTTTGTGAACACTACTTCAAAAGTATTTTTGTACAAATGCTCTTATATTTGGATAGTTTTTCATTTTTGCAGTTACATACATAGTCCATACAATAACACCATTTAAATTTGACCATTTTATGCAGGAGTTATGGTACTTCAACAATTTTTGGCCTATTTTGGCATAGTACAATATCACATTGTGAACACTTTTCCTCATAGTCCATACAATAACACCATTTAGATTTGACCATCTTATGCAGGAGTTATGGTACATCAACAATTTTTGGCCTATTGTGGCATGGTACAATATCCCATTGTGAACGCTATTCCTCATAGTCCATACAATAACACCATTTAGATTTGACCATTTTATGCAGGAGTTATGGTACTTCAACATTTTTTGGCCTATTGTGGCATGGTATAATATCACATTGTGAACACTATTCCTCAGACCATTTGTCTGAAAGCATCACCATGTTGATTTGACAATTTTTGAAGGAGTTATTTGACTTTAACCAAGTTTTGCTTATTGGAGCATTATGACATTTTATTAACACTACTCCTCAAAGACTTTCCTGAAGCTTAAATACTTTCTAGGATTAAAATAGTTATAAATCTGCTTGACCTATCCCTGTGAAAAGATCAGTTTTATTTGTATTTTGTACAACAATATTTTTTATCACAATTTTTATTATTTCTATTTTTTAATCTGCATATGTATCTCTCTCAAATGGTGTAAAGTTTTATTTCAAATTTGCTATACCCTTCTAGTTTGTATTATCTGTTATTTATAGAATAGACTTTGTTTTCATCCCATTTGAATATTTAAACTAAGGGTTTGCCTTTTTGAAACATATTGCTTTGCTAAAAATATATTCAATCTTTGCTCTAGTGCCATCAGGCATTATAATTTCATATTTTGCAGAAATTACCAGAATTTTGTTTAATTTGAATATTCTTTCATGCAAGCACCTGATGATTTTGATGTGGCAGCTACTTTCATTAGAGTGATGATTTGTATTCTGGTATTGAAAACAATGTAATATCAATATTCAGGGTTAAGATCTTTTATTGTATCTTCTCCTTTTCATGTCTGCTGTTGTTAGGCAGTCTATTCTAGAGGTTGTATTGTACAGTTACAATGGGGCATATCAATCTTATAGAATTAAGCATTTAGTTACTTCCCCTTACACACTGGGTTGAAATAGTACTATTATGTTATGTATTCCTTATTTATCATCATTGAAAACAGACCTATCAGATGTATTGTCTGATAGGTAGGTATCTCAGAAACAGATTTTTATTATTTTAAAATTCCTACTTCTTCACAAAAAATGTTCTACCATTCCCTATATCATGTTCAGTCTATAAGAAGATTTAAGATTTAGTTCAGATATTTACTCTTGTAAAAATTATATTATGTAAACTATATAAAAATAAGATGTGGTATGATTGCCAATTAGACAACTCTTCACAAGAGACCAAATAACACAGAAATTAACAACTATAGGTCACTGTATGTTTGCTATTAATTTAATTTTCAGTTGTATGATATTTGAAATGAATTACCTTTAGTTTAAGTGCTATACTTTAATTAGCTGTAAATCTTGCATTACATGGAGAGTTTTGTTTTTATCTGTTTGATGCTTGCTATCAATCATAAACTTTTAAATAACTACTGATTGGAAGCAAACTTACTTGGCAGCAATTTTCATTATTAAAAAATAATCCAGAAAAATTATTGTAAATGTCATAATATATAAATCTATAAATCTTTGAATCTTTGAATCTTTGAATTTTTGAATCTTTGAAAAAAATAATACATTAATGATCACCTGTAAGGAATATGGTTGATTAACAAAACAATCTTTAAATATGGCAAATTTGATCTTTCATGACAAGTAAAATGTCAGAATAATGAAATGTCATGTTATGGAAAAAAAAATATTTGGCATAAAAACATAGTTTCACCGTTTCTGAAAGGTAAAGATTTGACACATATATAGGTGACATACTTTTGAAAAAATATATGTTTTAAAATATAAAGGGCTATTCCAAATTTGTTTTATATTAGGGGTTGAAAGGCTTCAAGGCAGGTAATATTAGTAATGGAATAGGGGAGTTCAAAATAATCTTTTTAAAGTTATGTCCCTTTGCAAAATCACAAATTCTGATTAAGTAGATAAAAATTGATATTTACTTTAAAAAAAACCAAGCATCTGACTGCTATAATAGCAGGACAGCAACATTAACAGTAAATTACTACAAAAGAATACAGTATATCTTTTATCTTGAAACAAACATTTTGGTTGACCCTCATATTACAGTTTTTTTTTAACTTGAATTGTTTTTTCTTGAAATATGTGTAGACAAAAGCAACTTTTTTCTCATTTTTCCAAATTTTGGTAGTGAAATGAACTTGATAAACTCTTTCTTTTGATATCCATAGTTTTTAAAATTTGAATTTGTCATAAGTGAATTTTATAGTGTAAAAACTGAAAAAGACATATATAAGACCTCAAAAGCCACTAATAACTGAAATCTGAAAATGTGTTGTTATCATTTTTCCATTTTTCGAATCTGGACATTAATGAATAACAAAAAGTAGAGATAAAATTGTAATATGTATTGACAGAAGTGAGAATAGGTGAAATACAGGGTTCAGCAGCACCTCTTGGATCTCTCTGTGCTTTCATTTGTTTTCTTTGAACATGCAGTTGAAAAGTTGATCTTTTTAATCAATAGAAATCCCAAATGAATACAAAAATTTAGTCCCATTTTGATATTTACATATGTTTTGTTATATTTTATTTTTATGTGCCTTTTATATATATATATATAGTGCTAGTCGAAGCTTATAACCTGCTTTACACAGGCTTTTTGAATGATTAATTCTTAGTGATTTGAATGATTATTGTGTGATTGTTAAGTTTGAATAATGAATTATAACAAGTAGCTTTACTGTTTTTTTTATTTTTATGCCCCACCTAGGGGCATTATGTTTTTTTGGTCTGTGTATCCGTTCGTCCGTCTGTCTGTCCAGCTTCAGGTTTTAAGTTTTTGGTCAAGGTAGTTTTTGATGAAGTTGAAGTCCAATCAACTTGAAACTTAGTACACATGTTCCCTATGATATGATCTTTCTAATTTTAAAAAGTTTTGACCCCAATTTGACGGTCTACTGAACATAGAAAATGATAGTGTGAGTGGGGCATCCGTGTACTATGGGCACATTCTTGTTCTTGCCCTGATTTTACTTTTCATGCTCCCCTAAAGAAAAAAATTGGAAGCATTTTTATGGGAGGTCTGAAACAATTTTTCCTCAATAATAACTTAATAAGTTTCCCTTGCTGGATTGGAACGAACATTTACAGATTGAAGAAAAGAAAGCATATTGATTTTGGGTCAAAGTTCAAGGCCACTGAAGAAAGCCTACTAACTTTAAGGTCAGTTGATCAAAAGTGAATGTTTTGACAATACATGTATTATTGAGCATGTGCCCCCAGAATTGGCAGATCACCCAGGGTCAGTGGAAATCACTGCCAATTTTTTTTAAGGGGATGCCCTAAAAAAGGATTCCCTATATATTTAAGCTGAGGAAAAAGTATTGATAACAAATTTGGTATCTACATAACAGACTTTATACTCCTCCAAACAGTATGTTTTCTGGTCTCTGCATTGGTCCATTATTCCACCTCTCCCATATCAGGTTAAAGTTTTTGGTTGTAGTTTATTATGAAGTTGAAGTCACATCAACTTGAAACTTGGTACACATTTTCATTATGATGTGAAGTTTTTAATTTAATGCCAAATTACGGTTATGACCTGAATTTCATTGTTCCCTGAACATGGAAATGTAATAGTATGAAATTAGTTCATTTTGAGGTTAAAGTTTTTGGTCAAGGTAGTTTATGAAGAAGTTGTTTTCAGATCAACTTGAAGCTCTGGCACATCTCATTTCCATGAGATAATTTGGACCTGCCCCTCTGTCATGGTCTACTGACTTTGAAACGTTTTTAGTTAACATGATAAAGTTTGTGATTAGGTCAGCTTAAGATAAACTACTAATGTTAGGTCAATGACATTTATTATGCAGTTGTTTTAGCATTTGCACGTCTCATTTCCATGGAGATTACACAGCCCTGCCTCCTCATCATGGTTCATTGACTGACACTTTTGCAGCTTCTATTTTAAAGTTTGTGTTTAGGTCATTTTAAAGAGAACCATTTTTGTGGAGCCTGCGACTTTTGTCGCAAAAGCGAGACATAGCGATCCTACATTCCGTCGGCAGCGTCCACAAATATTCACCCTGTGGTTAAAGTTTATGAAATTTTAATAACTTTCTTAAACTATCCTGCATTTCAACCAAACTTGGACAGAAAATTGTTTATAATCATAAGATAGTATCCAGAAGAAAATTTTGTAAAAAAAAAATCCTGTTTATCCGTATTTTACTCATATATGGACTTAGTTTTTCTGCCAGTTAACATTACATTCACTCTGTGGTTAAAGTTTTTCAAATTTTAATAACTTTCTTAAACTATCATGGATTTGTACCAAACTTGGACAGAAGCTTGTTTGTGATCATAAGATAGTATTCTAAAGTAAATTTTGTTAAAAAAAAATCCTGTTTATACGTATTTCACTTATAAATGGACTTAGTTTTTCTACCAGTTAACATTACATTCACTCTGGTTATAGCTTTCAAAATTTTAATAACTTTCTTAAACTATCCTGGATTTGTACCACACTTGGACAGAAGTTTCTTTATGATCAAAAGCTAGTATCTAGAAGGAAATTTTGTAAAAATTTATTTCCTGTTTTCCGTATATTACTTATAGATGGACTTAGTTTTATTCCAGTTAATATTGCGTACAGTCTGCAGTTAAAGTTTTTAAAACATTTATTAGATTCATAAACCTTCTTGGATTTTTACCAAACTTGAACAGAACTTCTTACAATCAAAAGATAGTATCTAGAGGAAAAATTTTACCCCTTTTTTGTTGAGCCTGCGACTAACAGCAAAAGTAGGCGAGACACTGGGTTCCGCGGAACCCTTACAAATTTTTTAGAAATCAATCATATTTGATATGCAGTCTTATCGGCATTTCTTATTTCAACAGAGGTTATTTGGCCCTTCAATTCAGTCATGATTCATTGACTTTAAATGTTTAACAAAGTTTATATGTTGAAGTATTAACATTTTGATTTCCACATTTGCATTATCCTTTCAAAATTACATAAAGGTGAGACATCTCTGTGTTGATCGTTTATATTTGACTGCCAAACTGCCAATATTTTTACCTGTCTAATGTAGGTTCAAGTAGCATGCAGGCTTGATTTGCATTGTTAACCTCAAATGACCCTTTAATAATCTTGTAAACCATTTGTCTGGACATTCTTTATTATGTTTGATGATTCAACATAGGTGACAAAAGAAATAAAGAGCTGCATGAGGGCATGATACGACTTGCTTTTTCAAAGAATAAAGTTCCTTAACTACTCAATGTCATTTCAGAAATTTATAAAAAAAACTTAAGGGAGGTTATTTTAATAGACATAAACCAGTCACCAAAGTTTCATGAAAACTACTCAAAGCATTTTTGAGTTATTGTCTGAAAACTGGAAAATCACCCTTTTTTAATGAATAAAACCCCATAACTCGGAAACATAAATTATAAAAATTTATAAAAATCGAAAGGGAGCTCAGGTCAATAGATATAAACCATTCACCACAGTTTCATGCAAATTGGTTAAAGCGTTTTTGAGATATTGATGACATGTTGATGACGGACGGATGGACAACGGTATACCATAATACGTCCTGTAATCAGCCGTATAAAATATGGAGTGATGACATATTTCTGTGTATTACAAAGGATATTTGCATCATTACTTCATGCACTGACTGTTCCTTGGTCAGTAGTCAAATTGGAATGCACGACTGAATAGTTCTTGTCATCAATTCACCATCCAGGCAAACCATAATATTTACAGTTTTGGGGACCCATATCAAAACCCTTATATAGTTGGCTTGATAGTCACCACTTTTGCAGACTTTATCACTACTTTTGAGATAAACAAAACATAGTGCATTATGTACAACATTCTATGCATCCTATTCATGAATATTTAAATAAATTTATCAATGAAATATATACCCAGATATTAAGGTTACAATATGATGTGTATGTGTATAACCATACTTGTCAAGAAATTGTATAAAATGTGCATGTTGCATGAATCTAGGATCTGTTCTAAAAATATCAATGATGTTATTGTTAAAGTAATATCTAAAATTGGAGTTATCTTCCTTGGTCCATAATTATAGTTGAACCACCGGGATGTGTCACAAATATGATCAAGATACTAGGATGGGAACCACTAGCTTCCAGACGAAGTAACCATCGACTCGTGATGCTTTACAAGATCCAGCATGGGCTAGTGGACATTGATGCCAGTTCCATCTTACGCCCAAACGATTGACGTACTAGAGGCAAACAACGTCTGTACCAACCACCAGCAAACCAGAGTGTTTTAAGTACTCATACTTCCCTCGGACTATACAAGAGTGGAACCCCCTTCCAACAGCTACAACGGAAGCTCTGACAAAAGAGGGGTTCCAGTGTGTACTATCCAACTATAGTGCACCCCAGAAATCAACAATGTATATATCTCGGAACATTTTATCTGTAAATAGTTACAGGAGAAATGCTGTATCAATCTCTGTCTAGTGGACTAATAACATTCCAATAGGAAATAAATATGTTTTTATTCAAATTTTTTTTTTTTTTATTTTATCTATCAATCTCTCAGATCATTCAAAAGGGTGTGTTCACGTGGTTTATTCTAGCTATTCCTACATTTGAATTTTATAGGTAAAATATTAAGAAATTCATCTTGGAGTGGTGTGAACAAGGGTGTGATCCCGTTTCTCCAACATTTGTTAATTAAACTAAAACAACATTAGGGATTAGGGGGTCCTCTTCAGGACTGGTATCTAGATATTTACCTGTAATTCATCTGTTCTTAACTAAAATATCGTTAAAAAGAGGTATTTTTTAATGATATATGTTAAAACATAAACACATTTTTTTTTTACAATAATTGGCCTTTTATAATTTTTTTTTAAATTGTTACCCAAGATTTTATGTCTATATAATCAGCACAGTGATGTAAATTTAATTTTACTTTATTGACATATTTTTTCTCTATTTTCCATAATAATGTATTTTTACAATGTTTCGATGTTGAATAAAATAAACATTTTATATTCTGAGTTCTTAAGAATTTATAATAGCTTGAGTTATTAAGATTACACAAAAGTATCAAACGGTGCTTATTATCACATATGTAGTATATTTAAATTTCTTAGTCAGCTTGCATTAATTGTACGTGACAAATCGAGAATACGTGTAGCTCACAATTAACCAAGCCAGTCCCCCCAGTTAAACACCCTACAGTTCACGACGTGATGCATCCAATTTGTATTCTCCCTTTTTCTTGAAGAAAGTGGACAGATATATGACTGACTCTTCCATCTGCTTAAGACAGCATGCCAGGAACATTGACTTCGGATCTTATGATATACAGACAGAACGACCAGGTAGACGATATAATTATGATTCTTCCCTCTAGAAGACAATTTAACAACTTTCGATGACTATATACGTACATAAAACTTCGTTGTTGTGCAACGTTTTATATTTGGATATCTCCACGCAACACAAATACAAAAACATAAATCAAGTAATACAATAAATTACTAAAATGAGGTACAGTCAGTGAACATTTCGATTTTTCATGTTATTTTCAATAAAAGTTCCTTTTTTCAAAAAAAAATCATTTTGAGATTATTTGAATTTCTAGAAATTTTCATATTTGAAAGAGAAATGTTTGAATTTTCCTTGTTCATTTATGAAATCTTTGTTGAATAACCTGTTAATTTTGTAATTCAAATACGGATCCAAAAATTCGTAACATTTTCTGTTTATATTAAAAAAAAAAAAAAGAAATTTTTATAAAAAAAAAAAAGTGTTTTAATAAAAAATACCCCTTTTTACAAAATTTTAGTTAAGAACTGTTACAGGTGAATTACAGGTAAATATTTGCGCCAATTTTTAAAAAATCCAACCTTTCATTTGCACATTTTACAGGTAATACAGGTAATATATAACGGAAAAGTTAAATATTCATTGCTCTATACGATTTGTTTCTACATAATCCCCCCTGGATAATTGTGTGAGTTCATAGTCATTTCTAATACAAAACTGAGAGTCACTAAGGTTTATAATTATGCAAAGCCAGAATAACGACTGATATGGACAGCAAAACAATTATTAAAACTTTGAACGACAACAACCATGGCGTAAACCAGCATAAAGTAGAATCACAACAACTCGGAGTCAAAAAGCATCTGGTGATATAACTGAAAGACTATAGCAGAACTGTGTTTCATCAAGGTTTTAACACTACTTGTATGGTTTTATCAAGGTTTTAACATTACTTGTATGATTATATGATGACTAAAACTGTCTTTATTATTAAAAGTCTTTTTTTTTTACCTGTATTTACCTGTAATATTGGCGCAAACGAAAGATTTTTTTTGCGCAAATGAAATGCCAATTGGCGCATAAGCAAAGCACCGATCTAGACAAATACAAGACAAATACTTTATTAAAGTCTCACCACTTGTTACACATAAAATATTAAAACACAAGTTAACAACAAGAGCCACTCTATAAAGAGTTATGAGAGATCTAGACAAATACAAGACAAATATTAATTAAAGTCTCACCACTTGTTACATATAAAATATTAAAACACATGCAAGTTAACAACAAGAGCCACTCTATAAAGTACGAAAGCCTATTAGGGTCGCAAAAAAAAAAAAAATTATTATCTCGTAATTACGAGAAAACTATCGCGTAATTACGAGAAAACTATCGCGTAAATACGAGATAATCATTTTAAGCTCACCTGGCCCGAAGGGCCAAGTGAGCTTTTCTCATCACTTGGCGTCCGTCGTCCGTCGTCGTCCGTCGTCGGCGTTAACTTTTTACATTTTGAACTTCTTCTAAAGAACCACTGAATGGAATGAAACCAAACATGGCATGAATGTTCCTTATGAGGTGCTGACCAAGTGTTGTTACTTTGTAGCGGATCCATCATCCAAGATGGCCGCCAGCGGGGGACTTAGTTTAACATAGGACCCTATGGGAAATACATACAAATGTCTTCTTTTAGAGAACCACTGAATGGAAT